GCGTGCCGCCTTCACCCACCAGCCTTCGCCCGGACTCAAAGCTTACCCCTGCGCTTTCGCGCTCAAGTATCACCGACACCAATAGGGCACGATCACCTCTCTCTCCTAGCCCGGGGACGCTACCAAGGACAGTATGTCCACTGCCAGTATCCGGAAGAGTACGGCGTCTGTAGCTTCATCGACGACACCCGAGAGGTATCCGCGCCCGAAATCTGTGGCCGCCTCCGTCAAATCCACTCGTTCCACGACCTCTACGATCCGGAAAGGTCCTGCCGCCGGTCCCTCTGGCCTCCGCACTCCATCGGGCTCGACTCGCGCGCCATCCCGAACCCCTTCCCGCGCTCCCTCGCGTGCCACTTCCACCGTGTCGACCACAAGCGAAAATACTACTGCGTTTGAGACTGCGCCGTCCGAGCTCACTCCGAGTAGCGTAGGACGCGTAAGGAAGACCTCCGCGGCGTCCACTCTGTCGACGGCCAGCTCGCGGGCTCCTGGCCCTTCTGCTTCTCGCAGCCCCAAGCGTCCCCCGTCGGTTGCATCGCGGACCGCACCCTCTCTCAAGGACAAGCCCGTGGATTCAGTACGGTCGACACCGGTCGCGAAGCGAACTGCATCGTCGACGTCGGTCTCATCAGTCAAGTCCACGACTACGAACGCGACGCGCAAGTCGGCTGCGAAGTCCACAACACCCACCCCTCCCTTGCCGAAGCCCGCTGGGGAAACGAAAGCGAACGGAAAGGGCCCCGAGTCGGCGACCGGCGAAGCTGGCGGGACTGCTAAGGGCAAGTCCGCCCGCCCGGCCATCTCGCACGAGAAGCAGGAGAGCGTGGTCTCTACGAGCAGCGTCTCGACCGTGCGGGACTCGCTGAAACGCAAGGGCTCCACGGACACAATCCGCGAGGGCGCGGCAGCAAAGGTGCCGCGGGGCGACACGCTCGAGATCGGCATCCCGTGCATCATCTCATCGAAGCGGACCCGCTTCCGCGCGCTTGCGCGGTACATCGGTGAGGTCGAGGGCGAGGTCGGGCCGTGGGTCGGGGTGGAGGTACCAATGAACGACGCGTGGCCGGGGGACAAGCTCGACGGCCGACAGTGGCACGACGGCACCTGGGGCGGCGTCCGGTACTTCGACATCGGCTCGTCGTCGGAGTGGGACGACTACGGGGACACGATTGGGCGGCGGCGGAGGAACGAGTGGGCGGGGAGTTCGAGCAAGAGCAGCCTGGGCAAGCGCGAGGGCGACCAGCTGAGCATCGAGCGGTCGAAGAGGCTGAGGAGCGTGTCGCCCGCGGTGTCGGACATGTCGACGTCCGAGTCGCGGGGGCTGTTCGTGCGGCCGCAGCAGGTGCTGTATGTCGTGGACGCGGTGGTCTGAGTGTCGAGATAGCGGAGGAGGGACTGTTTGCAGTGCGCTGCTCTTCTTAGGTTTGCTTTGAATGCTCGCGCTATCGTTGTATGCACCCGCAACCGAATCGTGGTCGATACCAGCTAGTTTAACATGAACTCTAATCACTCCTCGCGCGAAACGAAGGCTGAGCGATGGGCGTGACGGATGGTGAGTGTCAACTGAAGGACTCACGCACTGATAAACTTGTGCATTAGGATGGAAGTCAACGTGCGACTAAAGTAAGTCGAGGGACAGCGAACTCAGAACTCCCCTGGCTGACGGTCTCCGTCACTTGATCTCGTCGAATGCCTCGACTAGATCATCAGCGAAGTGGGCGTACCCCTCTTCCTCCTCGTCTGTTTCCAGGTAGATGAGCGGCTGGCGGGCGTCCTGCTTCGTACGCCGCGGCATGCGCGGGGCCGTGGCGTGCGTTGCAAGGCTTGCGTGCGCTGCCAGGCTTGCGGCGCTTGGAGCCCTGGTCTGGGCGCGGGCGGCGGGGCACCTTCTTGGATGCCTTGAACGCCTTCTTGGACTCCGTGTCCACTGGGATGTCGCAGGTGAACTTGGGAGTCAGCTTGCGAGGCGGCACGAGAGGAGCGTGTCTGGCGAGAACTCATTGTCGCTGCTCAATCCTGTCCCCGCCGCCGCTCTTTCTGCAGCTCGACTCCCGCCCGACACTCGCCTTGCGCGGGTGAACCTGTGGGCCGGAGCGAGGTGGGCGTCGTCCATTCATTCCAGCAGCGGGGCGACGGCTTGGCGGCGTTTCGTGCTCTCGCAGAACCTGCTCTTCACCCGCCTCCCGACGCTCGCCCCCGGCCCGCACCGCCAACCCCGTGCGCAGACTTATCGCTCTTCTCCGCGGCACCAATCGTCTGTCCTATATTTCGCCCGTGCGTCCCCCTTCGCCCTCTCCCGCTCAAACATGCCTTCCCTCAAGCCCGTCCGCGAGTGGGCGCACCGACTTAGCCGCGCCCTGCGCTCTCGCGACGCGTTTTGCGCCTACGTCCGCACCCACGGCAACGCCCGCCGCGCGCACTCCTGGACGAACGAAGACCTCGCGCCGTCCCCGCCTCCGACGGTCAATTGGCGGGCCCATAACTTCTGCCTCTTCTGGTTTGGCATGGGCTTCGGCAACTGGTATGTCCCCTGCTCTCCTCTCGCTCCTGCCCATTCTCACCTCTGGCATCCGAAGGACGCTAGGATCCAGCATCGTCGGTGCAGGCCTCTCGTGGTGGCAGGCAACTATCGTCGTATGGATCGCAGCCTCCGTCTCCGGTCTCGCCATGGCCTTCAACTCCCGGGCCGCTGCGAACTATCACGTCGGCTATCCTCTCCTTCTCTGAACTTCCTTCGGTATGTACGGTCACTACTGGCCCGTCATTGCTCGCGGAGCGGCCGCTATGCTCTGGGTATCCGTGCTCAGTGAGTACTCTCCCTCGAAAGTCCGTGCCTACCTTTCACGCCGATTTTCCAGACTTTCAAGGAGGCGCCTATGTGTCCACCATGCTCCGCTGCCTCTTCGGGCACCGATGGGAGACCATCGGCCCCCGGTTTCCTCCCTCTGTCGGCACCACCCTCCAGCGATTCATCGGGTTCTTGCTCTTCTGGCTCATCGAGTTTCCCTTCTGTTCTTTCCGCCCCAACCGCCTTCGTTGGCTCTACACTCTCAAAGCGATCACTCTCCCTCCATCTGTGTTTGGCCTTCTCGTCTACTGTCTCGTCCAGAGCCGCGCTCGTCTCGCTTCGGACGAGAGGTTGATCGATCAGGACACGCGGCCCACCGGTCCTGCGCTCGCCTGGCTTATTGTGGGCTCCATCACCTCCGCGATGGGAAAATGGGTGTGTACCCCACGTGGTGGCGCTGCTCTGGTTCTAACCACTCCTCTTCAACAGTCCACGTTCATCGCCAACATGCCCGACTTTGCGCGCTACGCGACAGATCCCTCGGGAACGATGTGGACGCACATTCTCTTCGTCCCCTTCCCCGCCGCGTTGGTCAGTGTCCTGAACGTGTCTCGGGCATTCTACTCAACGTCAATTCGCAGGGAGGCATGGTCGGCATCTTCGGCACCTCGTGCTTGCAACGCGCGCGGGGTGTCACCCTCTGGAACCAGTGAGACGTTTACGACGCCATCCTGGACCACTCCTGGACCGGCCCCGCGCGGTTCGGCGTCTTCCTCTTGGCCTTCTCGTCCGCGCTCTTCAACTTCGGGCGATTCTGGTGGACCTGCTCCGTTCGCCAGCGATGCCACCGCTCTCTTCCCGTCCTACGTCAACCTCACCCGGGGGATGTGGTTCTGCTGCCTCGTCTCCCTCGCGCTCGTACCCTGGAAGATCCTCGCGTCGGCCCAGGGCTTCCTCGCCTTCCTCAACGGCTACGGGATCTTCATGGGCCCCACGGCGGCGATCATGATCACGGACTACTGGATCGTCCGGAGGGGCAACGTCCACATCGCCGACGCGTACTCGTCCACCCCTGGGGCGCGGTACATGTACGTGCACGGGCTCAACCTCAACGCGACCGCGGCGTACGCGTGCGGGGTGATGATCCCTTTCGTGGGCTTCGTCGGCACATTCGGCGTCCCCGTGCCCCTCGGGGCAGCCCGGTGCGACGAGCTCGGGTGGTACATCAGTGCGGCGGGTGCGGGCTCGGTGTACCTCGCGCTGTGTCGCATCTTCCCGCTCAAGAACGTAGACAGATCGCTGGCGTGGGAGCAGCTGGCGAGAGAGTTCGCCGCCGAGCGCACAAGCGTGGAGAACGAGCCCGAAAAGGCGTCCGACACGGGCCCGAATGATGGAGTTGTTTTATGTTGAGCGGTCATGTAGCAGCACATCGGGGAGAAAATCGAATTGCATATTCGGCACCTGCAACCCAAGGGACAGTCGACAAGTTAACAGGCTCCGAGACAGGAAACGCGCGTCAGTTGAGGGAAATCTCTTCCGTCTCTCCGACGTCGTCGTCGAGGTCGTTGCCATTGGCGAGCGGACGCTCTTTGTCGACCGGAGGGGGAGGAGGGACTTGGACGCTCGACGGCGTCACGACGGCGACCGGAGTCAGGTCGCTGTCCAAGTCCTGCGGAGCGTGGCCGCTCTCGACTTTTGGGGGCGTCTGCGGAGCGTCGGCCGACGGGGCTTGTGGCGCGTCGTCGACGTCGGTGACGGAGATGGTGGGAGGGATGTCTGGAATGGAAGGCACCGGCGGCGGTGGTTGAGAAGGGCTTGCGGGAGGGAACTTGAAGTTCTTGCTCATCGTACCTTTGCGCGTCCGGCCCGGTTGGTCCTCGTCCTCGTCCTCGCCCGTCTCTGGTTCCTCGGGATACCGGGGGCGGCGCGTTCGACAGGCTTGATGGGCAAGTGGCGGGAGGCGTGGCGGTGGTGACGCGCTGGGGAGGCATGGACTGGCGATTCGCGGCCTTCTGTTGGGTCGGGGAAGAGGTGCTGCTCCGTTGAGAGGGAGAAGGAAGGGTGGCCTGGGACATGGACTGGGGACGGAAGTGGGAAGGAGAGGATGGGTGCTCGCCGAGGTAGAAGGGGCGGATGGGCATCATCCTGCGGGTGGTTGAACGATGTGAGCGGGAGGGAAGGGAGGAAAGGCACTCACTTCTTGTCGGCGTGACAGGCGAGAATCCACTGAGGTTGGACGACAGGGATGCTGAGCTGGAGCGCCTTCTGGTATTCGACGCCAGGGCCGGTCGCGATGCTGTTGGTCACGTTCGCGCCGGTGGGGGTCGCGGCGGGGGTGGTGCAGACGAAGTGGGTGGTGTCGATCTGGATCTTGTCGCTCCATTTGGCCCCATCTCGCGGAGGGCGACTTTGGCGTTCTCGAGCATGAGCTCGTCCTCGACGGTGCCGAAGCAGACGGAAATGCCGGAGGTGTCAGTCATGGTGTGGGTGCGGACGGTGAGCTGGTTGGAGGGGCAGAGGCCGGCAGTGGTGCGGAGGACGAGCTGGAAGGTGTACTCGGTGTCGAGCTGGAGGCCGGACACCTTCGTGGAGGTGTTGGTCGTCGGGGACGGGATGGCGGCGACGCGCTGGCGGTCACGGTAGAGGTCGAGGGAGCGGAGCTTGGCGGTCGCGAGCTGGAGACGGGGCCACTCGAGGGTGACGGAGGTTTGGGTGACATTCCGGAGCTGGAGGGGGCTGAGGGAGGGGGAGGGGGAGAGGGGCAGCGGGGAGACGCACCTCGAGCTTGGGGTGTTGGGGGGTGTGGGTGCCAAAGGCGTCGAGGATGTGGTGCTGGAGGTCCCAGAAGTCGTTCTCGCGCTTCTTCTCCTCGGTCGTATTGCGCTGGACGGCGATGTTGACGATGGAGCCGGTGGTGACGCCCGGGGGGAGGAGCAGGGACGGGAATTCGATGAGGTGGGCGCGCTCACCGAGCAGGATCTGGGGCGGGGGTGAGGAGGGCGGGTAGGGAGAGGAGGGCACGTACCGCCATCCCGGCATCTGGGGCGGACGGCGTCAGCGGGGGCGGGGGCGGGGCGGGGCGGGGCGGGGACTGACCGAGCTTGCCGACGGTGAACATGAAGCTGTCCTGCGAGGCGGCCGTCATCGTGCGCGGCGTGGACGGTGGGCGGAGGAGAGACGTGGAGCGCCCGAGGCGGGTGCGTGCGCTGGGCCTGGTGGGGGCGGGGGCGCGTGCTGCCTCTGCCTGCGTGCAGCCTCTGCCCCGCGCGCGATGGTCGACGAGCGGAACGTGCTGGTGACGGACCCGATGCGGGTCTACCGCGCGAAGCGGGACGGGGAGCGGCGGCGGGTGACGGACAAGTACCTCATCCTCGGCTTCATCTCCTCGGGCACGTACGGCCGGGTCTACAAGGCGCAGAGCAAGGCCGCCGACGGCCGCGTCCACGCATCAAGAAGTTCAAGCCGGACAAGGAGGGCGACGTGGTGACCTACACCGGCATCAGCCAGAGCGCGGTGCGCGAGATTGCGGTACGTGCCCGCCTCCGCCCGCCGCCCGCCGCTCACCGCGTCCAGCTCAACCGCGAGATCTCGCACGAGAATGTGGTCGCCCTCAAGGAGGTCATCCTCGAGGACAAGTCGATCTACATGGTGTTCGAGTACGCGGAGCACGACTTCCTCGTACGCCCCCGCCCCCGCCCCCTCCTCTCCCGCTCACCCGCCCCGCAGCAACTCATCCACCACCACACCCAGACCCTGCGCTCGTCCATCACCTCGCCCGTCCTGCGCTCGCTCACCTACCAGCTCCTCAACGGGCTCCTCTACCTGCACGAGGCGCACATCATCCACCGCGACCTCAAGCCGGCCAACATCCTCATCACCCGCTCTGGCGTCGTCAAGATTGGCGACCTCGGCCTCGCCCGTCTCACCCACCAGCCCCTCCAGCCGCTGTTCGCGGGCGACAAGGTGGTGGTCACGATCTGGTACCGCGCCCCCGAGCTCCTCCTCGGCGCGAAGCACTACAACAAGTCCGTCGACATCTGGGCCGTCGCCTGCGTCCTCGCCGAGCTCGCCAGCCTCCGCCCGATCTTCAAGGGGGAGGAGGCCAAGCTGGACTCGAAGAAGAACGTCCCGTTCCAGAAGGACCAGCTCCTCAAGATCTTTGAGATCCTGGGCACCCCCTCCGGTACCAGCCCTCCTCCTCCTCTCCCCCTCCGCGCTCACCCCCCGCAGAGCGCGACTGGCCGAAGGTGAAGGACCTGCCCGAGTACCACAACATGCGCCGTCTCGACCAGTGAGCACCGTCCTCCCTCCCACTCCGTCGCTCACCCCGCAGCGCCAGCTACAACAACCGCCTCACGGAGTGGTGCCAGTCGCGGATCCGCTCCCATGGCGCGGACCTCCTCGCCCACCTCTTCGCCTACGACCCCGACAAACGGCTCACCGCGGCCGACGCCCTCCAGCACAGGTGGTTCCTCGACGAGCCCCGTCCCACCCCCAAGTCCGTCCTCCCCGTCTCGTCCCCGCCGTCCCACTCACCGCTCCCCCTCCCCTCCAGCGCGTTCGAGTCCCTGCCCGCGCACCAGATCCCGCCCCACCGGCGCATCAGCCACGACGACGCGCCCTCGATGGTCCCCGTCCCCGCCCCCGGCTCCCAGCTGCCCACCGCCCAGGTGTCCCAGATGCAGCCCACCCAGGCCCACCTCTCCCAGCAGCTCTCCCTCTCCCACTCCCACTCACAGCACTCCGCCAAGGCCGCCAGCGCCGCCAGCTTCGCCAGTCTCAGCGGCGGGACGCACCCCCGCAAGAAGGCCCGCCTTGGCTGAACACCTCTCTACTTTCATTCCACGCTCAGCTCGGGCACGACGACAGCACGCGCAGACCAAGTAGATGTACAAAAGTATATCGATTGCGCTCTACTACCGATACAAAGAGAGCGAGGACAGAGATGTACACGTCGATAGAACAGCCGAATCTGGACACCAACAGACCAGGTCGAAGTATAAAGATCTTGACGAGAATCAATATATGCCCCGTTTCCCCTAACCATCATCCACAGAATACGGATGATGTAGTGAATATGAGGCAAGAATCACTCCACACTAGCAGACACACTCCCGGACGAGATACAGGACCAACACGATCGGATTATGCTGATCAACGACGGGGTAACATACATCATACAACTCATGCACGGAGCTGGGCGCGGAGGTTGGCTTCGAGGTTGCCCCGGGGGCGAATGTACTGCACGTAGGCACCGTCCCTGTCCGACGATATGAGGGTGTGGAGGGAGACGACAATAAGGGTACGCACTGGAGCACCCGCTTGTCCTCCTTGAGCTTGAGGTAGTCCTCGCGGTTGACGTTGGTGAAGCCCCACTTGCGGGAGATGATGATCTTCTGGCGGCCGGGGAACTTGTAGCGGGCGCGGCGGAGGGCCTCCTGGACGACGGCCTGGTTCGAGTCCTTGGTGCGGACCGAGAGGATGATCTGGCCGATGTCGACGCGGGCGACGGTGCCGTAGGGCTTGCCCCACGCACCACGCATGCCGGTCTGAAGACTGGAGGGGACCTGGGCGTCAAGAAAGGGACGCTGGGCAGGAAAAAAGAGGGACGTACCGATCGGCACCAGCGCAGGAAAGCATCTTGTTGATGCGGAGGACGTGGAAGGGGTGGACGCGGACCCTCAGGTGGAAGGAGTCCTTGCCAGAGGTCTTGGTGACATACTTGTTGGCGCAGATACGGGCGGCTTCGAGAGCTTCGCTAGAAAGCTGCTCGTACTCGTCCGAGACGAGATGGCAGCAGAAGGGGAACTCGTCGACCGAGGCACGCTTGCGGCCGAGATCGAAGATACGGATCTGGGGAGGGGGCGTGGGCGAGGAGGGGGCAAGGTGAGGTCGTGGAACGCACCTTCGAGTCGGGGACACCGCGGTTGTAGCGGGACTTGGGGTAGGGCTTGTTCTTGCAGTAGCGGTAGCAGCGGGCGGGACGGCGACCCATCTTGAGGGATCTGAAGGCGGGATGAGCACTCGGAGCGTCATCCACAAGGAGCGGGCGCCATCCACCCCGGCCCAGCCGCAATCCACGGGTGAAAAGAGCAGAGAAGGAGAGGGGGAGGTGGATGGACGGCGGGAGGCACTCACCAGAGGCGTTGGGGGGCGGGGGTGGTGGGAGGGACCGAGCGGTGGTCCTTTTGAGCGGAGGAGGGAGATGACAAACGTTGGGCGAGCTGAGTAACGCAGGCGCCGGTCCTCGCCGCGCCTCGCTCTGACTCCCGCCATCGCGTCATCGACATCCCGCCTCGCTCAGCCCGCCCTCCGCGCATCCGCGACGGCGGTGGCAGAGCGAGATCATCTGCTTCAGCCGGTTCGACCAACGCTCGCATCCAGTCAAGAGCGCATCCTTGGGCCACCGACATCGCTCCACTCAAGCTTGCTGCACGACGGCGGGGTGCTCGTGGGGACGGGCGCACCTCTCGTCCTCGACCCATGCTTCCCCGAGCCCGAGCCCGGCCGGTCGTCCGCATCAGACACTGCGAACCTCGACGCTCAAGTACTTGCAAGGACTACATGCTCAACGTTACGGTCAGCCATGATGGCAAGTGGATCACCTAACGCGCGCGGGGACGCGAACACGACGAGCGAACACAAGTGCGCCCGTTCTCGCTGTGGTTCTGACCGAGTGCGGCGACGCCTCCCAAGTGGTCTCCGTTCGCCTCAGCCCGTCCTCGACACGGATATACGATGCACACGACGTCCGCCAGGCTCATCTCGGTTTACATCCGAATTGTGCATGCTGTGTACCGATCCTACGTATACATCCATCCGTTCCGTGTGCTCTCGGTGCGGGGCGTCGGAGGTACGGCCTCGACGTTTACCACGCTGCAACGTGCTTTTCATTTCCTGCTTCTCGTCCCCAGCTCGTCCTCCACACTGGGCACCGACGATCAATCCCGACGCCTCATAACTTCCCTCTCCCCCCGCCTCCCCTTCCCTCTCCTCTGCCCCCTCCGTCCGTCGCCGATCCCCTCTCCGCCATGTACTACGCCGGCCCCAGGCGCCCGATGAACGTCTACTACCCCCGCCCCGTTTCCCCCGTCATCTCCGTCTCCCCCATGTACAGCCCGGGCAGCCACGCCGGCAGCTACTACGACCATTGTCCGTATCCGCTTTCCGCCCGACCGACTCCCATCTGACCATCGCCCTCGCCAGCGCCCGAGATGCGGATGGTGCCCGTCTACCGCCAGTACTCCCAGCCGATGCCCCAGCCCGCGATGGTCTACCACACGCCGCCGCTCTACCACAACCGCACGCTCCGGCCGTACGGTCGCTCGTGCTGCGACGGCCTTTGCTGCGACCGGTGCTGCGACGAGTGTTGCGGGTGCGTCCGTCGTCGCCGTGCTCGCGCTCGTCCCAGACGCTCACCGTGCGCCAGACCACAGTGCCCGTGTTGCTAGCGAGCGGTGGGATATTCTTGTCGTTGGCGTGTGCGTTCATAGACGCAGTCTCGCCGCCGTCCGTCCCGGGCTTCCGTCCTCGTTCCCTCCTGTATTCTTACTCTTTTCGTTCGTCAAGGCGCGCAAGCATCTATTCGTCCCATCCGCATGAGCATACACACCACGTCCCCATCTCGCCTCTCACAGCGCGCACCCCGACAGCAGCGCCTGCACGCCCTCCGCGACCTTGAGCGGGTCGATCGCGTACTGCTCTCCCTCCCCCGTCCCCGCCGCCTCGCTTGCCTCCCCACGCGCAGCGGCACCACGCTGTTCCCCACCACCGGCCGCAGCATCTCCCAGAACTCCGACAGGTCCGCCTCCGCGTCCCCAAGCCCCACGCCCGACCCGGCGTCGTACAGCTCCGGGTTGGCGAACATCGCCGACTGGAAGTCGGCGTCGAGCATGTTCCCGAACGGCCCCATCGCCATGTCGAACAACACTCCTCGTCCGCGCCGCCTGCGGTCGGTGTGGTCGTCGCGCACTCCCCCTCGCCCGCCGGCTGGGACGCCGCGGGGAGCGTCTGCGTGAACGCCGCGAGGAACTCCGAGTACGCCACCGGGTCCAACAGCTCCTGTCCGTCCGTGGAGGCGGACACAGCCGGCGCACCGTCAGCGAACAGGTCCGAGCCCTGCGAGAAGAGGAGGAGGAACTCGTCGTCCGAGTTCGAGCTCGCCCTTGGCGGCCCCGGTGCGGGCAGCCCGTCCAGACGCATTGTGGACTCCACCTCGATCTCGTCCCCGGGCGGGAGCTCGTAGTCCGTCTCCTGTGCCGAGTCCCAGTCCGCGTCCGACGGCGTCAGGATCGGGCTCGAGGGCGGCAGCGGCGACGACCGCGCGAGGCTCGTCGCGCGCCGGTGCGGCGACGGGGACGCCCCGTCGAACTCGTTGTCGCTGCTAGCGATCGGGATCGAGTCCATCGGCACGTCCATGTCGTCGTCGTCGTCGTCGTCCGACGGCGGGTCCGTCCGAGTGCCAACGCTCGTGCTCAGCGGGGGCGCGTCGGGGACGGACCCGGCGCTCCGGGAGCTGCTTGGATGTCTGGGACGGGATGGCACGCAGGTGCGGGGTGGGCGCGAGGGGGAGAGTGGGGAGGCGGGGGTCGTGTTGTACAAGCGACGCGGGGTCCGTGCACTCATCCGGAGCGAGGGGTGGTCGGGCGTGAAGAGGGAGCCCAGCCCGTCGTCTTCCGGAGTCGTTGGATTGCTGCCTCTTGATCGTCGGGGCGGTGTGCTGGGCGGCTCAACCGCTTGAGATCTGGCGAGAACGTTGTGCGACGACGAAGGCGCGAAAGGAACGCCGAAGACCGAAGGAGACGAAGCGATGACAGGGCGTGGCGGGCCAGCGGTGGGATGGGCCGACGTCGGCCCTGCAGGCGGGGGAGTGAGGGCGACAGGCCCGTGGAAGGACCGCTCGGCGATGTTCTCCGACGGGTCCTTGTACGTCGCGACGCGCTTACGCGGCTTGGGCACAGACTTGTCCTTCTCGCGTGCGCGCTTCTGCCCAGATTTCTTGCGGGTCTGCGTCTCAGTCGTAGACAAATCCGATGAAACGTACTTGCCATCCCCAGTGCGCGGCAGAAAGGTCGTGTTCGTGTGCGCCCAGTTAGGGAGCACAAAAGCCTTGCGACGCGGTCGCGGGGGTGAGCTCGCTGGCACCGGGGGCATCGGAGGTGCCGACGGTGGCATGTGTTCCCATCCCGGGTCCGACGCGACATTCGCCGTGGATGTCGAGGCCGCGGGGGTGAGCTTCGTCGAGCGGCGGAATCCGGGCATTTGGAACAGCTCTGCGGCCGTGATGACCGTCCTCCTGCCGGTGGGCCGTTTGCGCGAGACGTCGTTTTCGCGGTCGCGGTCGTCCATGATCTCACTCAGTGTGCGCTTGCGGAGGGACGAGCTGCTCGCGCGCGGCCGGAGTGGGGGCACGACCGGCTGAGCAGGGGCGTACAAGACGGGCGCGGTGTTATGGTGTCGCAGTGGGGCTGCACGCGGGGGCGACCGCGCAGGCTCCTTGCCCTTGCCCTTCTCAGATGGCTTGCGCTGGAAGGCGGTGGGGTTGACGTTCTCCTTGTCGAGGACGACGACGTCTGGTTCGTCTTGGGCGTGGTCTGTCGTCGGAGGTGTGGAAGGTGGAACATCTTGAGTAGGGGGGACAAGAGAGGAAGCAGGTGGTGGCGGGACGGAGAAGAGCGGGAGGGAAGATATCGACGTAGCGTGGGCGGGGACCGGAGGGGGTGGAGGTTGAGTGGCGGGGAGCGGGGAGGCAAGGGTTTGAGGAGCAAGGGGCTGAGAAGCGGGATGTTGGAGTGCAGAGAGTTGCACAGACGAGGGCTGAGGTGCAGGTGCTGTACTTGGCGGAGGCGGAACGGCGGCTGCAGCCGAGGCGAGCATCGCACCGAGGAGATGGACAAGCTCAGGATTGGGAGAAGCCGCGGCCGAGGAGTCGATGGACGAGAGGGCGGACATGATCTGCTGGGTGTGCTGGGGATTGGCGAGGGCAAGAACAAGGGCGGACAAGGCCGCCTGTGTTCCTGTATCAGCCGGAGGGACGGGCTCGGGGGCAGGGGCCGCGGCCGGTGGGGCAACCGGCTCGGGTTGGTATGTGTGTGAGACGGGAAGGGGAGCAGAAGGAGGGTGTGGTGGGGGTGGGTAGGGAGACCGATGTCGTTGAAGGGGGTTGTTGGTGAAAAGGGCGCCGGTGCTGGCACCGCGCTTGGGAGCCCTCTTGTCGGGGACGGGATAGACGGGGGGGAGGGGAAGACGGTTTCCCTGGTGGAAAGGGAGGGTGAGGAAGGGAGGGGCGAGAAAGCAGGAAAGAGGGCTGACCTCTCGGATGGAGAAGATGACCTCGAGGGCATCGTCGTAGATGCCACCAGAGGAAACGGTGCCGAAGACGGTCGGAGGATGTGGGCTGCGAAGGGCGTCGGACATCCAGCCAAAGCCAACGGCTACGCCGGGGGAGTGGGAGGGCGCGCCTTTCCGTCCTGTGGATGGATGAGAAACGAGGTCTGGACGGCGTCGAGAGGACTCACGAGACTCGAAGGGATCGATGGCGTAGACGGAGTAGTCGCGAACGCCGTTCGGGACGAGTTCGGGGCTGTGGAAGGAGAGAGTGAGGGAGAGAAGGGGTGAGTGAAAGAAGGACGGACCTGGACTGGCAGATGGCCTCGAGACACGGACGGAGGGAGACCTTGCCGTAGGTGATGTGGTCATCGGCAGCAAGGGGGACGAGGTGGGGGGGAATGATGGAGACAGAGGCCTTGGTGGAAGAGAGGGCGAGGAGATAGGGCTCTGCAGAGTTGATGACATACATGGCGCGGACTGGATGGGAGAGGGTGGTTGGGAGAGAGGGATGGCTCGGATGAGGGAGGACGTACTCGGGAGGAGGCGCGTCTCCATCGCGCAGGCATAGCAGAGAGGCGAGAGGCGGCGAGAGGCGGGAGGGGCAGCGGAGGCGGGGACGCGTGCGGCGCGGGGAGGACACGGAGGTTGAAGACGAGGAGGACAACACGGACGCTGGGGTGCGCGGGTCACGTGGGACGCGTCTGGCGTGGGTCGACGATGGCCCGGGGGCGGCGGGGATGTCGGGCGGTGTGAGGAGGGCCGGGAATGGCCGGGGATACATACGGCCAAGGCCCGTCCCTCCGCCGTCCGCGCCCTCGCCCCCGCCGCCATGCCTTTCTCCCGCTACCTCCAGTCCAACGAGCGCGAGCAGTCCCGCGCCCGCGACGACGACCTCGACCCCGCCACCTTCTCCAACAACGTCCACTTCCAGCTCCCCAACCTCATCTTCAACGCCCCCACCGTCCCCCCAGGCGGAGGTGCAGAGGCCCTCCCTGCCGGGCTCTACCCCCCTCCTCCTCCCTCGCCTGGTTCTCTTCCCCCGACGGCTACCCCCAACCCTCGTCCTCCCTGCAAGTCTCCCGCTTCTCTCTCCCGCCCTCAGCTCACCCCGCCCTCAGCTCCGCCGCCTTCCATGCCGCCTTCCCCAACCCACCGACGTCCTCCTCCTCCCCTCCCTCCGATCCATCCTTCCCTCCACCCTCGTCCTACGCAGCCCACTCCCTCCCCGTCTCCCATTTCGCACCCCATCAACCGCTCTCCGTCCCCTCCGCCCTCGGCCTCCCCATCTACTCGGCCTCCGGCTTTGATCTCCTCTCCCTCCTCGCCCGCGTCGTCACCCGCCCGTTTCCCAAGATCTGCCTCGGTCCTGTCGATCTTTCCTGCTCCTTTGTCGTCACAGACACCCGTCGCTTCGATGCCCCGATAGGTCCGTCTCCTTTGCTCTCTCCCTCTCTCCTTTCTCCTCATCTTTCTCCCCAGTCTACGCGTCCCCCTCCTTCTTCAAGCTCACCGGCTATGCCGAGCACGAGGTCATCGGTCGCAACTGCCGCTTCCTCCAGTCTCCCGGCGGCCAGCTCCAGAGAGCCGACGAACGCGCCCACACTTCTCCCGACGCCGTCTCTCTCATGCGCAGGAACATCATCGCAGACAAGGAGTGCCAGGTCAGCATCATCAACTACCGCAAGGATCGCTCCGCCTTCATCAACATGGTCTCCGTCATCCCCCTCCGTGGAGGCGTCCATAACTCTCCTGACGAAGCCGACGACATCGTCTACCACGTCGGTTTCCAGGTAGACCTCACAGAGCAGCCAAAGTCCATCCTCAGCAAGCTCAAGGACGGCACCTACGTCGTCAACTACTCCGACAAGCCCGTCGCCCCCGCCTCCCTCGCCTCTCGTGACTGGCGCACCTCCTCCATGTCAATGCGCGGCATGTCCAAGGACCTCCGTAGTCTTCTCGCCGATTCCGCTTTCACCTCCTCCTTCCACCTCTCCTCCTCCACCCACGCCTCCACTGCTGTCGCTCTCTCCAACTCTCCCCCAGTGTCCGTCGCTCTCGATCCTTTCGACGGCAACAAGCCCCTCCATATCTACCTCCTCGACCGCACCCCTGACTTCCTCCACGTCGTCTCTCTCAAGGGTGCCTTCCTCTACGTCGCACCCGCCGTCCGTCACGTTCTCGGCTACGACCCCGACGAGCTTGTCGGCCGCTCTCTTGCCGATTTCTGCCACCCAGCTGACTCCGTTCCTCTCATGCGCGAGCTCAAGGAGGCCTCGGCTGTACCCGGCGTGGCCGCCGCCACCTCTGGCGCCCCACCACCATCGACGACTCCCTCTGCCCCCGCTGCGGACGGAACGCCCTCCGCCGCCGCTCCTCGTCCAGTCGACCTGCTCTTCCGCATACAAGCCAAGGGCCGGGGATACGTCTGGATCGAATGCCGCGGTCGTCTTCATGTCGAGCCGGGCAAAGGACGCAAAGCTATCATTCTCAGCGGCCGAGCTCGGAGCATGCCGCATCTGCTATGGGGCCCCATTGCCAACGCAGGCGGACTGGTCTCCCCCATCCCTCGCCCTCTCCAGCCACCATCGTCCTCGTCCACTGCCGACGGCTCGGAGGACCCAGCGGCGCGCACACCGGAACGGGAATTCTGGGGTCTCCTCAGCGCCCAGGCGACCTTCCTCTCTGTCGGCACCGCCGTTCGCGACGTGCTCGGGTGGGGAGCGCCGGAGATGATCGGCAAGCGACTCGCGGACGTCGTGAGCGGGACGTCCGCACACGAGGTCGGCCGCGCGATCGACGTTGAGATGACGAAGGTGGTGGCCGGCAACGGCGAATACGCCGGCCTCGCCTGCGACGTGCACACCAAGGAGGGCGGTACCGTCCCCGTCCATGTCGTCCTCTACTGTTCTGCGCCCGCCCAAGCCCTCGCCGAGGCTGCCACCCAGGTGACCCATGGCGTCCGCCCGAGCGTCCAGGCCCCGATCGTCTGCCAGGTCAAGCTCTACGACGGCGCCGCGCCCCCGCAGCGGTCTGCCATTGTCCACGCACACGATCAGAGCGTGTACGATGAGACGGACCTGGAGCGCGGCAGCAGCTGGCGGTACGAGCTGCAGCAGCTCAAGTTCCGCAATCAGCGGCTCGTCGAGGAGATCACCGCGCTCGAGGCGAGCATCATCAAGAAAATCCGGCGCAAGCAGACCTCGGCCGCGCTCGGCGGTGTAAACGGCGGGCGAGGGTCGGCGGGCCCGCGGCTGACCATCAGCTTCCCGCAGGCGCAGCAGTCGCCTGCTGGCCAGAGCAAGCCCCCGCCGCTGTCGACGTCGCTCAACGTGCGCTTCGTGCCCGACACGTCGGGCATGCCGCACAGCGCGGGCGCAGGGCCGTCGCCGTCATCGCGGGACCCGCCTACGCCTGTCGCTCAGATAGGGCACCGGCGACCGTGTCGCGCTCGCAACCGCAGACGCCGGTGCAGACGCAGCGGCCGGCGCACATCCAGCTCCCGCCGCCAGTGCTGCACGGGATGAGCGGGCAGGGCCCGGGGTACGAGCACCTATTGGGCAGATGCCGCTGCGGATGCAGCAGCACTCCGCGGCCGATTCTACACTGCACGGGTGGAGTTCATACCCCTACGGGGCGGGCGGTGGCAGACGCGGGCGGGAATGGGTATGGGTGCTGCCGATGAAGCGGTCGTGGGACGCGTCCATGCAGGACTCAGGCGGCGGAGTGGGCGGGGGTGGGGCGTAGTGCTGCGAGGACAGTCCGTCGGTGCCCCTCGCCATTTTAATCATGTTTTTTTTCGTAGATTAGGGCACGGTCGTCTCGGTTCTCGTGCTACACATCTTAGTTGGCCCGGCGCGCAGCGGCGGGCTTGTACTGTATTCGTACGTATTGTTCTGCGCTCCATCCGCGGCGAGTGCGGTTGCCCTCATCGATAGTCGATGATCATCCACCAGGGACTAGCTCGTTATGTATTGTATGATCACCTTACACGCGCGGAGGATGTATATTAACCAACTCGCTCGTCATTGCACCTTCAGTCGGTCTGAAACTCGAGTACTCAACAGGAGCCACTGGGAGCGACGAGGGGTACACGGGCGATGGTCATCGGCCAAGCGTGGCGATAGCACAGCCCTTGTTCTATCTCCCGAGATCTCATGAAGAGGATGGTACAATTGGGCGCGAGAGCAAAACAGCAAAAGTGATCGTACAGTCGAAAGCTCGTCTCACGGCAACGGCTCCCGGTTGCTGGAGAGGCGGTTGAGGTGGATGTACACGTCCGTCCCGAAGCCGTCCATCGAAATCAGGCGGAGATCCCCGCCAAAGTACCGCGCGTACTGTCACGCGCGAGGTCAGCACCGTCTCCCCCGCACGAAACCCCCGCACTCACCAGTCTGGACAGCGGCAGGCCGTAGCCGAAGCCGGCCATCGGCGCCTTGAAGTCGGAGGCGTCAAAGTCCTGGTCGATGTTCTGGCCCTCCATCGTGGTGTACATGTACGTCCAGATGAGGGGCACGGCGGAGCGGGCGATGCCCCCGCCCTCGTCCGAGATCTTGATCGTGATGTCCTCCTTGCCCTCGACGACGATGACCTTGATCGGCGGGAACGCGCCCTCGTGCTCGGGCCCGTACCGCTCGACGACGGCGCGGAGGGAGTTCTTCAGGAGCTCGAAGCAGATGTGCGACAGGTGCCCGGGCACGTACGGGAAGTGCAGGTCTTTGGGGCAGATCAGCTGCACCGGCGGGCCCTTGAACATCGAGTAGTGCTCCTCGCACACGAATCTGGGCGGCGCGCGGTCAGCGGATCCGCGCGTGGGCACGTGCTAGGACGTCGTCGTCCGCGGCGGCTCACCTCGCGTTCTCAATCGCTTCGTGGACGATGTCGTGCACGCTCTGTCCGGCGCGCGCGCGAGGGGATGAGCACTGGGCAGCGCGCGGGTCGCCAGGACGGAGGACTCACAGCGCTCGTGCAGATGATGCCGACATAGTCTGGGTGCGGTTGGAGCGTGTTGAGCGCGATGTCTGTCCCGGGCGCGTCAGCTGGTGAGATCGGCGGGGCTGGAAGGGGACAGAAGACGGGGTGCTCACGCTGGCCGATGAGAAAGCGGATGCCGATGCGGGACATGTAGAAGCGGTCGAGCCAGTGCTGGACGTCGAGGTTGATGTTGCGCGCGTTCTGGCTCCGCTTCCACTCGAGCACACCCTGGGCGACGGTGGTCACCGTCGGGTCGTGGCGCTTCTTGATGGCCTCGAGCGCGTTGGTGAACGCGCGGTTGTACTCGCGCACCTCGGGCGGCCAGACCTTGACGTGGGACGTGTTGGCATAGTATCTGCCCAGACGGGGCGCGAGGCGGGGCGTGGTGAGTGGGACGGTGGCGGGGCTAAGCGAGCGGGAGTCGCCAAGCTCACCTTCGTTCCATGGGAATCCGCATCTTCTGGCTGTTCCCGGCGGAGCGACCGGAGCCGTTCTTGGGGGTGGAGACGATGCCAAGGGAGGAGGAGGGGTCGGCGTAGTCGTCCGAGTAGTACTGGTACTGGAGCGACGGGTTCGGGTGGGACTCTGGGAGGACGACGGAGTCGGCGGGGGGCGCGATGAGGGCTGCACGGAGGTCCGGGGGGAGGCGGATAGGGGGGAAGGAGATGAGCTCCTGGTGGGGGGGTGAGGACGGGGGACGGGGCTCTGGAGGGGTGGGGAAGACGGACCTCGAACGACTGAGCGTACCAGTTCTTGACCTTCTTGATCGAGGGCACGTCGCTCAGGCTGTGGGGGAGTTGGTCGAGCTCCTTGACCCGGTGGGCGAGACGGACGGGGAGCTCCTCTGGGCGGTGGTGAGAGCGGGGGTGGGGACGAGAAGCGGGGGTGCGTACCGAGGAGGAACTGGCTGCCGCGGAGGAGGGTGCCCTGGCTAGGGTTCTGGCCGAAGAGGACCATCTGCTGGAGGGAGACTGGAGGGTGCGGGGTGAGCGGGGGAGCGGGGGAGCGTGGCGGGGGGCGGACCTCCGGTCTGGGGGAAGGAGGCAAAGTGGTGGATGCGCTCCCAGAGGCTGGGGGAGATGCGGAACATGGCTAGCGAGGCGAGGGGAAGCAGGGGGGCGTCGGAGGGGGGCGGGGGGCATAGAGAGAGAGAGGGCAGTTCGGAGCGGCGGGAGGGAAGAGGAGGACGGGCGCTGGCCTAGGCTGCCCCGCACCTTTCACGTGCGGGACCGTGTCTGGCCATCGCCTCCGCCCCCACCGGGCCCACCTCGCCCGCCCGCTCTGCGGCCGATCATGCATCGCACAGGGCGTGATTATACTTTATGTTGGCTACGTGTACAGTCGCCGGCAAGGCGCCGCTGGGATACATCTCCTTCTCGGGTCGTTTCCGGGTATACGCCTCCGCCCATCCCTCACCCCTGCCGCGGCCCAAGCACTTCCTCGTAGATGAGCACTGCACCGTCGTCAGCGCCGCCCGAGCCGTCCAGAGCGCAGTCCGCCCACCTTTCAGCTGCTCCTTTCCGAGCGGGTCACCGTTGTCAAAGTCGAAGAAGCTCGGGTCCAGAGGCTCCGCCGTCGGCTCGTCCGACGGATCGTGGTACGCCTGCCCGCCCAGTCAGCCCGGGCCCAGCGCTGCGGACGACGGTGCTCACCTCCAGGTACGGGTGCTTGAGCGCGTCCTCGACCTCGATTCGCCGCTTCGGGCTGAAGGTGAGGCACTTGTCCATCAGGTCGATCGCCTGCAAACGCACGTCGTCAGCGGTCGGGCCTCGACAGCTCGCCCGGACGCGTACCAGCGGGTTCGCGGTCGGGAACAGGGAGCTGAACGCCTTCTTTTTCCGGAAGGGCAGCGCGCGGATGTATTCTCTTGACCGCTGCGAGGTGATCGCGTAAAAGTCGTCGAGCGAGGGCGTGCCGAGGATATCGAGGATGATCGACAGCTGGTGGTGGTCTGCGACGCCCTCGGTCAACGACTCTGGATCGTGGCCATCAGCCGCTCGGGGCGGGACGTACAGTCTCTGCCCGGGAAGAGCGGCTTGCCGCTCAGCATCTCGGCGAGCACGCAGCCGACGCTCCAGATGTCGATGGCGCGCGTGTACTCTTTGAAGGTGAGCATCACCTCCGGCGCACGGTACCACCTCCAGCGCCGTCTGTCAGTCCGGGCCCGGGAGGAGGAGGAGGAGGAGGAGAGGACGGACCGGGTGGCGACGTATTCTGTCATGAACGTGCTGCTGTCATTCGCCACATTGGGCGGGGGCCGTGCAGACCGGGCGAGACCAAAGTCGCACAACTGGAGAACACGCCGACGGTCACGCGACAGACGGGGAGGACGGGCGGGGAGAGAGGACGGACCTTGAGATCGCAGTTGGCGTTCAGCAGCAGGTTGGAAGGCTTGAGGTCCCGGTGAAGGACATCAGCGGAGTGGAGCGCCTTGAGGCGCGCAGGGTCTGAGGCGGAGCGTGAGCGGTGAGCGAGCGAGCGGGGAGTGGCGGAGAGGGAGGAGAACGAACCTGGTAGATAAAGTATTGGCAGTGGTCATCGGAGAGCTGCTGGGTGCGAATGACGCGATGGAGGTCTGTTTCCATGAGCTCCTGGACGAGATAGACCTCCTTGAACTCGTCGAGCGAGGGCGGGCGGAGGATGTCGAGTATTGAGATGATGTTCTCGTGGTGGAAGTGGCGGAGGAGCTTGATCTCGCGGAGGGTGCGGAGGCAGAACATGGAGTGGTCGAAGGGCGTGATGCGCTTGATCGCGACCTTGCGCTGGGAGGGGACGTGCATGGCCGAGCTGGACGGCGGGCGGGAGGTGAGCGGGGGACGGGGCGGGGAGGGCGAGGACGGACCAGACGATACCGTATGCGCCTTCGCCGATGAGATCGAGGACGTGGTAGTTGCTGCCGACGACGAAGGTGGACATCCGGTCGTCCATCGTGGGCGACGGCGGGCGGGGGAGGATGGGCGGGGATGGACGAAAGCACGGTCCCCGACGCGCTCGTTGCGACCCCCGCCGCCCGTGCGCGCTCCCGGCCCGGCCTCACGTGCGTGCAGACGCCGGCCTGGCCATGGGCGGCGGCGACGGGCGCTCGAGCTCGCCCTCCTCAGCCTCGCACTCGCCGTCGTCCTCGATCCCCTCCGCCCCCCGCCCGTGCTCCCCGCCCGGTCCTCTCCCCGCCCCGCCCCGCCTTCGTCCTCTGCCCGTCCCCCGCCCGATCCCCAAAATGCCGCCTGCCGAGCCCAAGCGCAGGGAGCACGACGCCGACCCCCCGGCTCGAGACGGCCCCGAGCGCGAACGAGGAGATCGCGAGAGAGAAAAGGGCGGAAAGCAAAAGTCGGCCTCGAAGAGTACGCCGTCTGCGCTCGCCCGCCCGCCCCTGCTCACCGCTCGCCCACAGCCAAGGACCTGTCCCATGTGCCCTGCAAATTTTTCAAGGTCGGCTCCTGCACCGCAGGCTCCTCCTGCCCCTTCTCCCACAACATCCTCGAGCCCGGCCAGCACAAGGAGGTCTGCGCCTGGTTCGTCAAGGGCAACTGCAAGTTCGCCCACAAATGCGCCCTCGCCCACATCCTCCCCGGCCAGTCCATGTCCATGGACCGCAAGAACAAGAAGGCCGCCCAGCTCGCCGCAAGCCCCGGCCCCAAGGACTCCAAGTCCAGGGCACACAAGCCAGCCCACCACCCCGCGCCCCCGGCCTCCCAGTCCCGCCCCTCTCTCCTCTCCGGCTCGACCGCCCCCACCCGCTCCGTCGCCCCACCACCCGCTCCCCCATCCCCGTCCCGCTCAAGGCCACCATCTCTCCCTCTGCCCCCGCCCCGCCCGTCAAGGACACCGACTTTGTCTCCTTCGACCTCCCCGACGACGCCAACCAGCTCCCCAACGCCCCCGCCTACGCCAAGCCCTTCGCTCCTCCCCCCGAGCCTGCCTCGGACGCTCACCAGCAACCTGAAACGCTCTCTTCCGCCCCCGCCCCTCCAGCCGAGTCTGACCGCCCTTCTCCCGCCCCGCTCCCCACCCACGCTGCCACCGCCCCCCGTCGCATCAGCGACGCCTCTACCCCCGCAGACTTCGGTCCCATCGGCTCTCCTCCCCGCGCCGCTTCTTCCTCGAGCAGACCCGCCCGCGTAAACGGCTTCTCGCCCGGCACCTCTCCTCAGCGCCTCCCCATATCCACCTCTCCTTTCTCCGCGCCCGGCACCCAGACCATGTTCGCCGTCTCCCGTCATGATGATGGCCCTTCCGACTTCAAGTCCATCTCTGGTCTCTCCGCCTCCCTCGGCGCCATCAACTGGGCTTCCGACCGTCTGCCCTCGCGCAAAATAGGCGTCGAAGAAGTCGTCGTCGAAGACGAAGACCTCGAGGAGTTCCTTCCCAGCTCTCTCAACGATCTCCTCACCCCCGAAGAGCGATCCCGCAGAATGTCTCGCACCAACGCCACACGTCCCACCGTCGTCGGCATCGAGCGCGACCCGAGCGCGCAGCGTTCCGGTTCTGACGCTCATCACCGCTACTCGCGCTCCGTCCCTGCGCCGTCTCTTCTGCAGGACATCAAGTCTATTTGGTCGGACGGCGCCGCCGTTCCTATCGGTTCTCCCGACGCGTCCGCGTTGGGCGGTGGTCACTTGGGCGGCTTGGGCAACGGTACGCCGAGTTCCTTCACCTCCAACTCGGGCCTGGGCTCGCGCACGGCCGACGACATGCTCTCCCCGTCCAACGCGTCCGCTGCCTTCCTCCCCGGTCTACATCACTACATGAATGCCAAAACCCCACGCCCCGCCATGGTTTCAGGTCTGTCTTCCATGTATTCTGGCGGCAATGGAGCCCACATATCCTCGAACGCGTACGGTCACGACTACAACGGCGTCGCCATGTCCCCTCCCCACGCCAGCACTTTTGGGGCCCATCCTCCCGAGTCCTACGTCCAGCACACCGGTCTCCGTCGGCCTGGTGCTGATGGCTACGAGCCCAGTCACGGCGAGCAGCGCAGCGCGCTTTCTCCGTCGACCCGCGCCCTTCAGGCCCACGCTCCTGGCCAGAGTCTCCCGCAGGGTCTAGCTGCGGGCTACTCCCGCATCCATGCCCTCCCGCCGCCCGTCATCCTCTCTCCCTCGTCATCGAGCATCATATCCCGGACGCCTCTCGGCGGCGGCTTCTCGCCCGGCACCAAGACGCTCGGTCATGCGCACAACACCTCGGGCGACTGGGCGAGCATGTCCCCCACCGCCGGCAGCCTCCTCGACCAGATCAACAACGGCTCGCCCCAGCCCTTGGCCGCGGCGGGCATCGGTGCTACCGGCACCTCTTTGGGTGGCCTGGAGACCATGTTTTCTCGCCGGTCGTATTCGGCCGCTGCGTCCCGTACGTGTCTGACCTCGCGCGCGTTCCGTCGTCACTCACATATGCTTGTCCGTCTATCAGGTACCATGGCGCCGCCGGGCATGGGCACGCGCATCCCCAGCGGCCGCGGCTCGCACCTGCAGGGCTCGTTGAGCCCGCTCAGCCGCCCGGTCCCTACGGGCGACGATGAGGATCTATTCCAGATGGAGTGAGCGCGCGCGTCGGATGTCGTGTCGTGATCAGCCAATGGAGTGCACGTGAAGTATTGTAGAAATATCTGTTGTAGAATGACTAGGCCAGGTACTGACTCTGCAGATAGTCGTAGGTTAATCATGTGCTCTGTGTGATACCATGTGTGCTGTTCACTGTAGTCTATAATGTATTGTGTTTGTCACTACAGTTGAGGATGTGAACCATCCAGGTGCACTGTAAGAGGACACTTGAGACAGAACAGGAACAGCGTCTGTATTGCGTGGTCAGGAAAGGGGAATGGAGAATGGTGAATACATGAGAGACCGGTGCGTACCTGTATTGCGTGGTCAGGAAAGGGGGAATGGAGAAGACCAGGCAATACGGTTCGCGGAGGTATATGAGGGCGTACGTAAGCATGGGAAGTAGTATGTAAGCTATGTTGTAAGCATCAGGCTTACATGCACAGTATGTATGAATGTCCTTCGGGTGCGGTTTATGTCAGCAGTCTTATTAATTATAATCAGGTACACTACCTGGAGTGTTCATTGAGCTTTCAAGGCATTTCTGTGAATCAATAGGTTCCTTTGCAAAAAGCTGCAGATGAGTGAGAAAGTGCAAGTCCCCTGATAGCTGGCTCAGGAAAGTAATACTCTATATGGAGCTAGGAGCCAGTCAAGTGAGAAATTAGAGAAAAGTCACTGTAGCCAATAGCAAGGGGTGGGGGATTCAAGCACCTAATCAGATCATAGTTGCACTCAATTCTGAGTATGACAAGGCTGACTGCAGACATAGAGAAGCAATCCTCACTCAGTGGTAGACTGAGTGTATAAACATGACTTGTATATGCAGAAAAAGGAGTGATTACAAATGGTGTAAGCATAGGTAGAGAGCAAATGAGTTAAGGCTGCATGCGGATCTACCCGCGGATGACCCGGAGTCTTATTCGCGGATCATCGGGTTCACAGACACCTTGATTTGGATCCGCACGGGTCAGAGTCCCTGGAAGACCCGGAGTCTCATGACCCGGACCCTCACACCGCGGATCGAGCCGTGTACAGAGCCGCAATCCACGGACAACGCGAATCGGGTAGATCTGCAGCTCAAGAATGAGCCGTGTAGGGAGCCGTTTTGCTTACTGAACCGCACACAGGTGAGATCCGCACGGATATAACGCAGTGTGTTCTATCAAAATAAGTATATGTATTTACATAGACGACAGGAAGATGCAGGAACATCGGCACAAGGGTGTCAGGACGATGCGCAAGGGTGCGAGGTGCACACGCGTGATGCATGACCCTTGCTGAGGTTCGACCAATGACGCCACATGCGCGAGGTGCGAGGTTCGACGCACAATGTCGGAGGACGTGCACAGAGGCTGACACGTGAAGCGGGTGACGCGCACAGAGGGCGACACGTGAAGCAGGCGATGCGCACAGAGGGTGACGCGCGAAGCGGGCGACACGCGATGGCTGAAGCGGGCTCGGACGCGCAACGCACAACACGCACAGTGGGTGACGCGCAACGGGCGACACGCACAGTGGGTGATGCGCAACGGGCGACGTGCACAGCGGGCAACGCGGGATGGCAGATGACGCGGAGGTGGGACAGTCGAGAGCGGGCGATGTGGAGGACACCGAGGACTTGATAGCGGATGGCAGGGAAGCGCCAGAGGGCAAAGGGCGGAGGTAGACACGGACGAGTGCGGCACAGTCTGGGTGGCGGGGAAGCGACAAGACGGAGGGAGGACAATGAGGAGGACACGGAGGGTGCAGAGCGCAGGATCGTGATGGAGAAGGAAGCGTGTATTGGCCACATTGGCGGCATGGACAATGTTCAAAACAAAAAACATGAAAGGGGGTGGTATAACATATACAGCTCTAAGCACGGGCGATCGACTTGCCCTTCTTGTCCTTGAGGAACTCGACCATCTCATTCTCCGGGAGGAGAGCTGGGACGCTCGCCCAGCTGCTGAGAATCGTATTGGCGCGGACTGAGTTGTTCCCGAGAGAGCGGCGGAGATGGGACACAGTGAGATGTCCCCGCAAGAACGCACGCTCCGCATCAGTGGACGTAGCTAAATAAGGGTATGAATGAATGAAACAAGGCAGAGATACAACTATACGCACCAGGAATGGAGAGGTAATCGAGAGCCATGCAAGCGAGCGCGGCGTCCTCACCATGGCTCTTGATGAAAGTGTTCCAGTACGCGAGCGGGTCCTTGACGCTGGTCTTGGGTGCGGCATTGAGGTACTCATCGAGGGCGTCGACATGGACAGCGCCCTTGCTGCGTGCACCAATTGAGGCAAAAAGCTGAGGGTAGAGCACAGTCAGCACATGCACCGTGTACTATCTGTGAAAGTTCAAAGCACTTACCGCAGCACTCTTGCTCCAACGAGCTGCTTGAGGAGGTATGGCGGTCGCGGCAAGCGCGGCAGACGAGGTGGCGCGAGCGGCATCATCGTCCGTCTCCTTGGGCGCGGTAACCTCCGGCTTGTAGTAGTTCACCCAAATCTCGCGAATGAGGTCTCGGGCCTCGGTGATCCATTCCTCCGGCCAGCTGGCCTTACGGAAGTACGTCAGCTTGAGGGCTGGGTGGAGGACTGGGTTGCGAGGTAACATAATAGTTAGTATGGCCCGGTGGACACGTCAAAGGGAATGATGGGAACATACTCATAGCGACCCGGTAGACTGGCGTCTCGTCAGTCTTGCTATAATACTTGTTGAGAATGGACTGCGCCAGCCGCGCACCCTTGCGAACGGCGGGGTGAAGAGTCTCCTGTTCAACAAAGTCGTCGAGGTGCTTCATCAGAACATCTATAAACGGGATAACCTCGTGCAGGAGTGCACGAGTGCTCGAAGAGATCTCGTTAGTCACATAGAGAAATGGCTGGAATTGTGAGGACCCATATAATCAGCACAAATGCGTTGCAAGAAGGGCAAAAACTCACATCCATGAGGTGGTACAGTTGTTCGAGCATCACCCACTCATCCTCAGTCAGAATGAACCGACGCAAACGAGCACCGCCGGCGCGGTTGAACTGGTGCATGTCACAAAGACTGCCAAGCACATCCTTGAGTTCCAGAGCGCGGGCGATGACGGATACGAGGGTGTTCCAGCGCGTTTTGACAGGGCGGATGAGGACACGTGCGTGAAGCTTGGCGTCGATGGCCAACTTCTCGAGCTCGTCACGAATGACTGGGCTATGCCAGACTTTTTGTGAAAGCTTGGCGAGCTGCCGAACATCATAAACTCAGCCGGAGATCTAGCGAAATGCGAATGAAATACCTTGTCGAGAGCAATGCCAGCGGCCTTCTCGTCATTAGGGTGGCACTGGGCACCTGTGAGGACGTCGTCCTCGAGGTTGTTGATGAGGGCCTCATCAGACGCCTCGCGTGCGCTGTCTTCCTTGTGGTCGTCATCGTCTTCGTCCTCACCACGCGAGTCCTCTGAGAACTCGGCGTTGTCATCGCCTTCATCGTCCTCTGAAGTGGTGTTCGACGCACGGCAGCGGGACTTCTGGAAGGGCTTGACAGCTGCCTGCTCATAGATGTAAGTACGGTTGTATTTAGTCGCATGCAGTGCTTCATAGGCATACCTTGCTGACAAGGTTGAGAACGTGCCCAAAGCAGCGCACATGACCCTCGCCAATGCGCGCGCCCACGTCGGCAGCTGCGCTGAGGTGCCGCATCATGGCGGTATTCACCTCCGCATTATCGCACGTCACCACAATGACCTGCATGCAAAATGTTTAGTAAGAACGCTATAAGTAACATAGACGAGAAAACATACCTTGTCGAAGATCTCGAACTCGCGCAGGGTGGCCTCAAGTCGTTCACTGAGGTAAATGGCCGTGTGGGCCTTGGTCAACCTGCGAGAGGGGACTGGTATTAGTATCAATCAAGCGAAGATTTAGATGCACTCACTTCACAAAATCCAAGATAACATGCTTGATGGCGCCCTTCTCCTCCCAGTGTGCAGTGACTCCGAAGTACGAGATAACATTTGGTGACGTCCACCCATCGACACAGATATGGATGGCCCCCAGGAGGTTCTGTAAATGTTGCATCAGAGGCAGAATAATGAGTAAGAAGAGACGAAACATACCTTGAGGTACTCGACGAGGCGTTTCTTGCCTTCCTTGTGGATATCGCGTACATCGTCGGAGACGGTGTTGCGGCTGGGAATGGCGGCCTGGCTGAACAACATGCCAACGATCTTGCGGAAGTCGGTGTCCTCGACGATGGTGAACGGGCGGTGGGCACGAGCACACCACATCGTGATGTAGAACCGCATGCGATGTGGGCTATACGTGACACCCGCGGCGAAGTTCTCGATCATCTGAACGCCGGTAGTCTTCTTGACGGGTGCACACGCCGCAATGTGGCGAATAAGGTTGCCGGTGCTCTCCTGGTAATCAGGGTGGTCGACCGTCTTCAACGGATGACTGCACTCCAAGAGATCAGGTGGGGGCACACAATGCGTATGCGAGACAGCAACTTACGCCTTGCAGGTGAAGCGATGGGTGATTGTACCCCCCGGACCCTCGACGATGTCCGGAAAGTGGAAGTGTAGGTATGCCGGAGAACACCACTTGCTAGCCAGGTATTCTATGTAACAAGAATCAGGAGAACGTTTCGCGAGAGACAAGGACAATCGTACTCACCTAAAACCTGCTCCGGTGAGCGGCCCGCGAACCTCCTGGTGAACTGGATCTGACGAGCAGTTAGGGTGGTCGCAATGCCCGCGCGCTGGGCACTCAGGCGGGTGCGACCTTTGAGAGCCGCAACGCCATCGTCGCCGTTGTTGTTGTTGTCGCTGTCCGACACGGCTGGGGACGATGCCGTGGTTGGGGCAGCGCCATTGTCGTCTGAATCGCTGATGATGATCGAGGAGTGCTTGCCGCTGCGGCTGCTCGCCCTAGAAGCACTGCAAAATGAGAAGTTAGTAGGCGCACACACACATATAACAGATGGCGCACTCACCTATCGTTGTCGGCCTTGCGGCGCTTGCTCTCGCGGGAGGCAGACCCAGCGAGGATCTTCCGCGCAGCATCTGTGTCGGGAACGGTGGAGACAGAGGATGCGCGAGACAAATCACCACCACGAGACACTGTCTCACGGCGACGCTTCACTGCAGTGGTAGCGGCCTCGATAGGGGTCTGGGGAGCGGGGGAGGACATCAGGGGCAGGGACGTAGAGCGGGAGTGGGTGATACTCTGAGCGCAACATACCTTGGATATCCCCCTATGTATGTTTAATCGCCCCGCTCGCTGTGATCCTGTCGACCTCGGCCCGTTGCATTGCGTATCGTTGTGCGTGCTTCGGCACCTAAACAACCCTCAAAGATTGCTGAGCCACACACGAGACACATGTCTCCACAGAAAGACTCACCTGGCTGATAGTCCGACGACTTGAGGTGCTTGTGATTGGATGGGATCCAGCTGTCGGCCGACTGCAGAGATCATGCGCACTGCGATAATTTCGAATCCCCTGGTGGTTTCAGACCGAGCTCAACGCGTGTAGGCGAAACAAGGGTTCGGTCAGACTCACCTGGACAGGGCTGAGGGCACCCGCAATTCGAGAAAGGGGCAGCTCGGGAGCTAAACCAGGTTGAGGTGTAAGACATCCACTGAGCGGAGAACGCGGAGTTGGAAGAGGGAGGTATCGGGGGCTTGGACATGCTGCCGCAAGGTGTTCTTGATATGACCAAATCGAGGCATCAGCTTATGCCATGCACAGCCACAACAAACAGTGTGTCGTGCTCACCTGGCGTTGAGTCCGTTTCAGAGAGATCGGAGGGGAGGGGAGTCGGGACAGCATGGCGGTGGTCAAAAGGAAAGAGTGAAATACACCCGAACGGTGGGGCAGGTGAGAGTGTATGCGCTTGCGTGTATGCTTCTTGGGCGTTAACGCTGTCACTTACGTCCGCTGCACCCGTGCCTGACTTCCGATGGCTCTCCCTCGTCCCATTCTCACCCTACTCCCCCTGTTCGTGCCCCCACGCAAGGTGCGTGCTAACGCACCGTCTAAACTATCTCCAGCCCTCGTGCAGAGACAGATAAGAGCGTGTGCATCAACACGTTCTCTCTGCCACAGTGCGAGGACTGTACTTACCATATTAGGACGCCATGTGTTGCAGCTAGCCACGGCGCCTCGTCCCGATGCCCGAGGAACGGCGAGGCCTCAAGCCAACATGTCTTCAAGACCATATTTAATGACCGGTGAGCCTTCCTAGACCGTCAAATTGTCACCACTGACTTCTCACTGGCCCCACCGCTCTTCGCTCAGACGTCCACCCACTCCCGGTGGCTCCAAACAATGAACACTCCGACCACCATGCCCAACACCATCGACAACATCCAACCTGCGGTCTACATCCTCCTCGAAGACGATATCCCACCCTCCTCTCTTGCTGACCCAAACAGCCATGCGGAGAGTCGCCCAGCGTGGGCCACTGTTCTTGTGAACAGCGTCACCAGCACAGTGACGGTGAGTAATTACTGTCATACTATTCATACCTGTGCATTGCTGACGATCATCGACAACAGCTCATGCTGCCGTGTACCACCCTCACGCCCGCCACCGTCTCTCCCATGCGGGCCGAGGCCTGGTTTCATCAAGTGCGAGGGCCAGCAAAGGAGAGATGTGAGCTCCCGGATGACGAGTGCGGGCTGCTCCTGCAGCTCGTGCTCGTGTTTCGCGCCTTCGTTCAAAACCACGAGGATGTCGCCCACATCCCTTTCGACCACTTTGCCGAGGCCTTTGTTCAACACGCGCGATCCCTCGACATGCACGAGCCGGCGCGGGAGATCCTGATCAGTCTCAGCATGTTCATGGTTGATATCATGCCCCAGGTGCGATTGTCGTTCTTTTCACCCACTAACCAATGCCCATTGAGATCATCTAGGTTGTCTCTCCTCTTCAGATGGACACTGAGAGCGAGATCACAGACGCACTCCGGTCGTACGCAGACACACTCTGGTCGTACGCCGACGCGCTCAGCCGTGCTGCATTGTCTCGGGCACCCAGTGACGAGGTCGACATTGCGGAGGCGGATAGCTGCGGCGTGCTCTCCATATCGCGAGCGCACGACGACGATGTCCTCATGGACATGCGCAATGATGTGTTCTTCACGAGCGTCGGGGTTGGGGTCGTGCGCGCGCATGGCATTACTGTACGCACTCGCTGGGCGCTTGCGTACACCCGGGCGACGGCCGCGATGGTGCCGCCATCCCCCGACACGACAGAGCACACTGCGGGGATCTTCTGGGCCGGTGTGGGGCAGGACAGTGCCGACGGGTTTGCTCACACTGTCATTGGTACCTATGGACACAACTCGGACGGTGATTCCCTGCCTGGCTTGTATACCCCCTCCGTGTCTAATACAACAGACTCTGATTAGGCATACAACTACGACACGTACATTAGCAGGGTCTAGCTAGTACAGCTATGTACAAATGAAGCGTGCAAGGGCCGTTTCTGCGTGCGGATCTGCGACTCAATCCACAGGTGAGCCATGTCGGCCCGGGATTTTGACTGGCCCGATCCGGAGCCTCACCGAGCTGGACCCACTAGGACTCTGAGCCGCACGGCTCGTGACACGCGACTCACGGCTCCGGATAATCACGGGTCTACCTGCAAAGTGAGCTGGACTCTCATGCAGCCTTAAAATGAGTAAAGTGGGACTTACTTCTCAGTTAGTAGTAATGTATCATTTGTATTAATTGAATATGACATATCACAAGAGTGTCTAAAAGTTTGAACATTCAGGGGTGGTCATAGCTCACAAGGCTGAAGTTTCAAAGCATTTTTAGATGCTTGTCAGCACCTGCTTAATCTGGGTGCATCAGTTCCCAAAAGTTAATGATGTGTTTGATCTTTCTGGGCTATTATGGGTAGTCTGTTCAAAGTTTGAATTTACCTATTTGAACTTACTATCCCACTCCAAAGAGTGGTTCAATCAATTTGAGATTGTACAGTAGAACAACTGAAGAGCAGTAGGGGCAAGAGTCCTTCTTATACTATACCAATTCAAACAATTTGACAGGTTTTGTGACACGTGACACTAAAATTGTAGATATGTTTTTGATAGATCAGTCTGTGATTAGTGACACTGTCAAAAATTTAGCACCTAGGTGGGCAAAAAATGATGTTCTAATAGCAGAAAACATGGTGGATTGCACTTGTTAGTTTGGCTAGGACCCTAGAAAGGGTATAACTTGTTACAGCTATATCAATATTGATAGGCCATTGTGATGCAGGGGTGTAAGTGAGGTGTTATAGATAGTTACATGCACACCTACTGTTTTTTCTCTTCTCTCCTCTCTGTTACAGACTATGTATTGTGCCTTAGGTGCTACTGTACTATTATTATTGCACCTCACTTTCACCTCATGTCTCTGTATAGCCATAATCATACAAGTGCATGTCTCATTGCTACTACATATAGTATAACACTCTTACACACACCATATGACTTAACTTAACTTATATAGACTCATACCTACATGCACTCTCCATGCTGCAGCCATATATAATAGGACAACACACTAGTGCTCCCCATCTTTCATGACGTGCATCACTGTGTCCTTAGAACACAAAAAAGCAAGAAAAAACTCATTTGCAAGTGAAATTTTTTGAAGCCGTTTTTGAATGTGAGAAAAGGCAATGGAAAAAACACATGTTTGATACATTATTGGGATGTTCTAGGCAAAAAACCTTTGAAAGATGTGTTTTTCTGGGCTTTTTCTGCTTTTTTTCTTGCTCACAAAATTGGCACTGGAAAATTCACTTGCGAGTGGCTTTTTCTATGTCTTTTCATGTACCAAAAACTCAGTGGTGCATGTCATGTTTTGACCTCCTGTTTATCTATGTCCCCTCTGATCTAGTACCTACTGTCTCTCTTGCTTGCCTTTCACAGTTCATCTCACTTGCTAAGTAGTTCACTTGACAGTAACCACACTTACTCACACTGACTATTAAAAGATTCTTCACATTAGGACTTTGACAAACATTAGGTTAAAAGATTGAAACCTCTACTTATTCAAGTATAGAGGGCTTATCTACTAGAAAAAAAGGTTGTGAACAATTCACCAGCAGAACGCAATAGAAGAACAGCTATTACAGACTTCACATAGAAACCCCAGACTCAACAGAATACCTCTCAAGTACTCACACTAACTTTGGGAGAAAAACATGTAAAGTAGCTACTTGGACCAGAACAGAAAGATTTTTAGCATACCCTATCTATTAATGAGGAACAGAAGGAAACATATAATCAGAGACATATATCACAATGACTGCTCTCTGGTATCCCTTTTCAACATTGTTCACCTTTTGCTTATACTCATACTGCCACTACAGTGTGAATCCAGTACACCTTGGCCTTCTAGCTAATACAGAGAATGTACATTAGCTATTGTTTTTCAGCAGCTAGAGTATAACCGTTTCCTTACCTGATTCCCAACTTCTTGGACTTCTGTGGTTTACAATGATCAAGAGTAAGCTACCTGTGACTGTCACACCTGCCACATAAGTGTATTGAGCTATAAAACATTTTTATTATGCCTACTGCTCTTGATGTAATGCTTGTATTGTATAGATATGAGGCTTAGTGTTACACCGAGGTTTTGTACAGAAACAAAGTTGTAAGCAATCTTGATCATTGAGCCACACCCACTTACGCTGTTGCATATGATGTCGTGCCTTCTCCAGCAGAACATGACTCTGCTGCACGCACTCACACTACACCTACCCCTGCTGTGACATCCACACCCTCACCCTACCTCACCCTAGTTGTGCCTACCTCTATCCCTCCCCTGCCCATCCATACCCCCACCATGACTGCAACCTCTGCCTCTGACACAACTTCTGTTGCTGTCACCTTCATTGCTCTTTTCTGGAACTCTGACTGTGCACAAAAGCAAAACTCCCATAATAGCCCTATGAGATGTTCCAAGGACCCCACTTCCTCCCATCTTTCACAAGATGCCCCATCGCCATCTCTCCAACAGGAGGCACCTTTAGGCTTAGGAGAACCTCCACCCTCCTTTACTAGCAGTAAAGCCCCTATCAGGAACAAGAAGGCCCTGCCTCTCATCGCAGAAGAGAAGCAGTAGCACCCTATCGCTCACTCTATGGCAAACATGGTTGAAGGAGTTGACATTTTGATGTCCTTTCCTCTGAAGAACCCGCTGGCCCCTCAGAAGCAGCCCATCTTCCGAGGCCCTGCCATTATCCCTCCCAAACAACCGATGCAACCAGAATGGCACTGCAGAGCACACTTGGCAACATGGTATGTTCACCCATGCTCCTCCAGTTCTGTCTATTTACACCCATCAGGTTCCCAGAACCCAGGGCTCAAGAAACTGCTGGAGAATGAGCATTGTGTAGGGGAAGGTTCCTTTTATCTTTTGAGCCCAGGACTTCATGGTGCATTGGAAGTACTTACCATTTTTGCTTACCTTCACTTAATCAGTGCTTTAGGGCTGGAAGACAGCCCAAGGAAGTCAAAAAATTTAACACCTGGGCACGGAGTATGTTGTAGCTTGTGCTTTTCACTTGAGTCTTTCAGCCGCTAACTTTCTCTCATAGCCTCGTCTTCCGTTGTTCACGCTGCATGTTTCTTTAATCCTACTGGCAACTCCAAAGGAGATCTCGATGGGGAAGAGGAGGGTGGCAGCCCAGACAATTCTCCGACCAAGCCTCATGCACGACAGATGCATCCTTTGCACACCACTGTTCCTCCTCAAGGCCAAGTTGGAGCCCCTCAAGCTGCCACCCCCAACCCCTGTCCTGCCCCTACACCCATGAACCCCCACCTTGTGGCCATTCCCTCCAACTCTAACCCTACCGCCACCCCTTCTTGATTCTGGCCCCGCTTCTGTCTTTATAAACCATAACGCTGCCACTGCTCTCTCTCCTGCACCTGCCGCTGCCGCTGTGATTCCTGTGAACATCAGCCTTGCCAACCCTGCCCCTGTTTCCTCTATAGGTCCCATCGCCAAAGCCCAGAACTGCCACAACCAGATGAATGATGAAGAGGAAAACTTCAACATGGACATCTCTAGTGACAAGAATGAGGATGGTGAGGGTGAGAGAGCCCTTGCTACTTAGCCGTCTGACGTCATCGCTGACACTGTTGCCCTCAACGTTATTGTTCTTGATAGCGCATTCCCTGGTGGACTTGACAAGGAGCTTTCGAAGAGAAAGAATGACACTACCCTGTTTTTCTGGCTAGCGAAGGACAAGGGTCAATTCTATTACATGTACCCAGGCTGCAGGTGACCCTCTGCCCCTTTCTGACTTGGTCCTGGAGCTGACTGTGCTGTAGCTATTACAACGGAGCAGGAACAGCCTCTTCTGGCCACTGCAAGCACCTCATACATAAACATCTAGACCAATGGGTCAGGGATTGCGTGAAGCAGTGCATTAAGCTCAGCACTAGAACATCCATTTTGCATTTCCAAGCTATACATCACAGTACCAGAGTTGCAACTAACCCCCTGTAAGGCCCATGGTTGCAACCAGGGCACAGTTGCAACCGTACCATGGTTGTAACTATACTAGTGTAGAAGTACTACCCCCAATGATAGATAATTATTTGAAGGAGCTGTAACCCGTTTTCTGGAAGTCAAAATGATCGCTGCCCTCAAGAATTGAACCATTGACCTTACACTCTGAAAGTGCCAATGGTACGCCCAACCACTACACCATAAATCCTTGTTTCCTTGTACATGTGTATAGACTATGACATCGACTTTATGACTATTACGATTAATGAGGTACGAATGAATCGTTCTTTATGGGGTGGGCTCTGGCTGCGACGCGCGACACCCTTAGTGCGACCCGTGGGAATAAATTTTCAGACTCTGATTACTCTTGACTAGCACAGCCACTTCCCACGCATAGGTTTGCTACTTACTCCCATCACCCTAGCTCTGGGTTAGGGTCCCCCTGTAGGGTTTCACTAGCGCTGGGTTTGCACTGCCACTTGGGCCCAGCGCTTCACTCCTTGCTACACTTTGTAGTGCCTGTTAGTGTCTATACCTATTCAACTAGACTGAGATGGGCACTCTTTGTGGGCTTCAGTCAGACTCTATGTGGACTACTACTATCAATATAATCAAGATTTATAGACATTGATTCGATTTTTGAAGGGCTGATTTCAGAAAAGTGAGGCTTCCGCAAGTTATTTGACGCCCAGTGGCTGTAGTGCCCTGCCCCTTCCCATTGCACCCACATCTGCCTACTAGTAAATCAGATCAATTCCCTAAAATGCTGATTATATTTGTGAATCTAGTTCTCATAGTGGTTGGTACGATTATGAAAGAGGTGCTTATTTATACATAGTGGGTGGGGTGCAGAAGGGTATACAACATACATCCCATATGTTGTAACTGATGGTATGAGCTCAGACAGTGCGCGTTTTAGGTGATTGTGAATGTGTTATACTCATCTATTATAATGGGGTATTCCATGTACACCCAGATGCCAAATCTCACTGTGTTCCTTCAAGTTGTTCCCATGCTGGAAATCTGACCGACTCTGCCCATACGTATATTGAAGTTGTTATATCTCAAGCAGTTCTTGGACGCATCTCACGAAACCTGGTGCGTCCTAGTGTATGTTTTAATGCGCATCTAAAACGCCTAAGTGCGCTGTCTAATGTTCTGGTACACTTGTTTCGATTTCCCACCGACTCAGCCCAGGCATTCATTGACATTGCTATATCTCAGGCAGTTCTTGAACGCATCTCTCCAACTTTGCTGCGTCATAATGTGTGCTTCAATGCGCACCTATCGCGCCCAAGTGCGCTGTCTAATATGCCAGCATCAGTACTTCTTGCGAACGTCTAAAGTGTCTAAAGTGTCTAACTTTAGAGCATTAGACGTTTTAGACATCTTAGACACTTGGATCACTTAGACATCACTTTTAGAGCATTTAGACAGTTTTAGATGTCTTCTGCACACATGCTAGACATAGGCGATTTTTGAGATCTGTACACTCACACCGAAGAGGAATGCTTGAAACAAAGTATATTGATTACTAACAACAGTACAACACACAGGGCAGGACACTGAACAAGGTATACGAGCGGGGTGGCAACTCCAGCAATGTGAGTGACGCAGGGGCGAGACGGTAGCGATGTGGGTACAGTGATTGAGGGCAAGGTGAGTGCCACAGGTGGGTGGGACGGACTATGTGGACGTTGGCGTGGGGATGACCCGGGCATGGGCAGGTGGTGTGGGCGATATGGATGGGCGACGCAGACATAAACTACGCAGACGTGAGCTAGGTGACAACGCAGGTGAGCAGGTGGGGGAAATGACGTGGACGTGGGCGAAGTGGGCGACATGGATAGGTGAAACGGATGACCTGGATGTGGACGACCTGAGTGCAGGCGACGCGAGTGCGGGCAACGCAGACGACGTGGGTGCAGGCGACGCGGGCGCGGGCGATGTGGACGCTGGCGCGGGAATGACGCGGACGCGGGCCGGCGATGTAGGCGACATGGGCAGGCGATGCGGGCGATGTGGACGTAGACGACATGGACGTGGGCGAGGTGGGTGACGCAGGGGCGAGACGGCGGCAAGACAGGCGAGGCGGGTGTCGTGGGCAAGGTGAGCGCCGCGGGCGAGGTGACGTGGACAAGATGGTGAGTGGGTGACGCGCATGGCGTGGGCAAGGTGGTGATATGGGGAGTTACATGTGCAGCGTCGGTGGTGCGCGTGCGCGGGAGGAGGCGTCAGGATTGCGCGGCAGAGCGGATGGATGGGGCACTTACTGTCATGGAGGGGCAGGTCAGGGCCATGCCCACGTTCGCGAGACGCGCACGAGGTGGGCGAAGCGGCGACTGTCCTTGGCCGCAGGAGAGACGGTGAGCGAGATGGGCGACGTGTGACACGAGAGCGAGGCGGGTGAAGTGGGCAACGTGGCAACGCAGATGACGCGGGCGAGGGCGAGACGGGCGACAGAGAGGTGGGCGAGAGGTGGGCAACACAGGTGAGACAGATGAGGGGGTTGAGATGGGGCAGGCGGGCGAGACGGACAAGGCAGGAGAGATAAGGGCAAGGTGCGGGGCGCAGGCGAGACGGGTGAAGTGAGCGACGTGGCGATGTGGATGACGCGAATTGACACGGGCAAGGTGGCGGCGAGGACGAGACCAGAACGGGAAAGGGTGAGACCAGTGAGGTGTGCAAGGGCGAGACCGGCAAGGGGAGGCTAGAGGACGATGAGGACGACGAGGACGAGCAGCTGGCAGTGCCAAGCGCTGGAGTCCACGCAAAGCGTGTTGATTCCCACGCGTCTGGAGCTAGGCGCCAGCAGCTGCCGGCGCGTCTTGCTCTTCGTCCAGTCACCAGTGTCCGCTGGCACCCCATCCCAGCCCCCTCGTCCTTCCCGTCCTCTCCGTCCTCTCCGTCTTTCCCTCCCGGGGCGACATTCTCGACGAGCACGCGAACGCACCCCTCGCCCGCCGCTTCCTCGACGGGCTGTTGTGGCCCCACCGGTCCTGGTGAGTCTCCTGTTCTGCCCTCCTGCGCTCCCCGTCTCGCCCACCCCCTTCCAAACTCCGGCCCCATCACTGACCCCGTCCCCATGGCGGGTACGTCCCAACGGGCATGCACAGGATGCTCGTCCCACCGGCGTGGCCGCGTCGCGCGGCCGTTGCCGCTATGTCACGGCTGGATCGTTGCCCGCAACAACCCCAGTACCTTCGCGGGCCCGCTCCACTTCGCCCGCCCACGTCACCCACCCCGCCCTTGCGTCGCGTGTGTCTATGCCGCCCACCTCGTCCGCCTCGCCCACCTGGTCGTGCAATCACCTCAGCGAGCCCTTACGACCTCGTTGCCCACATCGCCCATCAACATCATCCGCCCGCGTCCGCGTCGTACCTGCGCCCACACCCACGACGCCCAACCCACGTCGTCCGCACCCGCCTTCTTCTCGCGTCCACATCGCCCGCCTGCGTCCGCGTCGTCCCCGCACCAACGTCTGCACCGCCGACCTCGCCCGTGTCGCCGCGTCGCTGGCCTCGCCCGCATTGCGGGCCCGTGTCCGCGTCGTCCCCGCACCAATGTCCGTGTCACCCGCACCCACATCATCCTCACCCACGTCGGCCGTCCGACCTACCAGTGCCGCCGACCTCGCCCGCGTCACCGACCTCACCCATGTCACCGACCTCGGATTAGAAGGTTACTGATGCCCGCGTCAACGTCCGTATCATCCACCTTGCCCTCCCACCTTCGTGTCGCCTCCACGCCAGCCATCTTACCCGTCTCGCCTCCACAACAGCATGTTGCCTGCATCTCCCACGTCATCTGTACAGCCTGTGTCGGCTCCCACTACCTGTGAGAGCTCTTTATGGAGGACGAGTGTCGAGGACAGATGTAGATGCGCCTGTCTGGAGTGTAGCCAGATACCAATATATTTTGTCATCCTCGAACATCTATATTGTTGTGAATTATCGATAAAATAGTCCCCTTAATGATATTAAGCTCTCACCTGCAACAAGAGGCTTTGTGGAACCTTGTAGACCTGTAGCACTGTCTATGTGTCTAACATGTCTATAATGTCTATAACGTCTAACTAAATTTTGTCTAAATTTTAGACATTTTAGACGCTTTAGACGTTCGCAAGAAGTACTGATGAGTATGACGGTTTCGATTTCTGGTCGAGTGAACTGAATGAGGTGTTATGTACGCTGTATCTCAGTCATTTTTCGTCCGATTTGGACCAAACAAAGTGCATTGGATTTCAACGGTCTGGGCGTATATACTTGCTCATTTGCGCATAGTTTCGTCGCCCTGTTAAAATTCTTGAAATCTGGGCCAAGTTGACTGAGTGAGATGTTGTACATGCTCTATCTCTGTCAGTTTTGGGTCGTTTGATATGAAACAAAACGTGTTCGACTTCTATTGTCTGGATGTACTCACATGCCAAATATCGTCTGATTTCGTGGTCTTCTTCCTGTTCTGTAAGCCTGCTTGAGAAGTGCGCTCTTACGGGCGCTTACGGGCGCTTAAACGCGCGTAGAGCTGCAGGACCTTATCTCCACCCATCTCTATCTCCTACCATCATCTCCTCCTCTCCCCAGACCACTCTCTCTTCCATCTGCATCCTCTTGAGTCACTATGGTACGCAAGCGCAAGAGCAAAAGTCTTGGATCTATTAGTGGTGTGGAAGGGCAGTCAGCTCCCTCAAAGACTGGTACTGGTGATAAGGCATGGGTGAGCAATCTACACTCTTGAATCTGCCTGCATTGACAAGCCACTAGGCCCCTGGCCCTGCTCAGAGAGGCAAGAGGAAGAAACCCTCTGAGCCTAGCAAGCCAGTGAGTATCATATCTCTTCCCTTCTGCATTCACCTGAATCCTGCCAAGCACATCCCCTCTGAATACAATGTTGCACCCATCCCTCCCAATTTTCTTGACCCTGACCAGGTCATTTATGATGAGAGGGCTGTGGAAGAGGCATTTGAGGATGGTGTGAGAAGGGGCGAGGAGGTTCTGAGATATGCACCACGGTTCTTCATCCCTCTCTCTCTGGATGACCTCCCTACCCCTACACACAACAAAGCTGTCAAGGCTCAGAAAGAGCAAGAGTGGGACCAGAGGAAGCCTGCAGCTGCCACCCCTTTCACTTGCATTATCACAGATGATTCTGGGAAGACCATTCTGGCTTACCTTGGAAGAAGGCTGATCACTGTGAGTTCTCTCTTTTGTTCTGCACACATTACTTATAACCCTTGTAGGAGAATCCTGACATCTCTCCAAAGCCTATCTCTGAGTTGTATGAGGGTCGTACAAACAAGGATTTGGTCACCATCCGGAAGCAGGGGGAACTTGAGGTGGTTTCTGATGGTCTGAGTGTGAGTTTCTAATTTCTTTCTGTTTCTTTCTCTAACTATTTCCTAGGTGGATGAGCAGCTCGAGTACCTCAAGGGGCTGCAATATCTATCTGGTCACATTCAACCTAGTGTGCCAGATAGAGATCGTCGCCACGATCAGCCTCGGGACAAACTTGATTCATACATCCATCGCTACCCTGCCAGCTCCCCTGAAGAAGACCGACCTGGTGAACGGACTGGGGCAGCACATCTCAACCACTGCTGGCATATGCAGGGTCATCCTCGAGGGGTATGTTTTTTCTCTCTTGTCTGAGTTCAATTGTGCTGACTTCCCATAGATGCTTTATCCTAGCTCAGACCTGTGCATCGAGCGGGACCTCAAGACACCCAAGAAACAGCCCTCTGATGCCCATGAACGAGTTGAGCATATGATGCAGTTCTACACTCTCACCGCTCGTGTGGCTGCCATTTTTGCTGGTCTGTTCAAGGCTCTCTTTCCCGAAGAGTACGTCAAGTACAAGGCTGCCTTTGACGCTGGGAGCTGGATTCCACACGACCCAGGGCCCTGGCTAGGGCGGGTCATCGTGTGGAAGCTACAAGTTCAGCTACACTGGGACGGTGGTGATGGAGGTCCTACTCTCACCTGCCCTATGGGTTACTTCAACGGGGGTGAGATGGAGTTTCCTGACCTAAACACCATTTTGCAGTAAGCTTGAGCTCTCTGCCATGTGATCTTGCTAATCAGATTTGAGCAGATATCGTGCTGGAGACATTATCATTGCTTTGGCAGGCCAAGTGGCTCACAAAGTCACAGAGTGGACGAACGCTGGACAGATAAACGGCCAGAATCTCTCACCTGAGGAGATTACCAAGCATAAGCGACCTGACTGGTTCAAGTGGGGAAGAGTCTCAATTGTGCTCTTCACGAAGCAGACACAGCTCGACATGCTGTATGACAAGCCACTCAGCTTCTTCAAGAACCACAGAGATCATCATGAACTCCCTGACAAGCCTTGTTCATGTGGGTATGAGGTGTGTAATGAAGAGTTTGCTGAGAAGGAGGAGAGGGCAAAGGAGAAGAGGCTGCAGAAGGGAAAAGGAAAAGGAAAGGGACAGGGAAAGAGGTCTTAGTACAAGACATGTACTTACAACAGATTGAGCTGTAAAAGATCTGTATTACATATGGAGAAGCAGGCAAAGCAAGAATGCTATGAATTCAGCAAGAAAAATGCAACATCGTTGATAGAGATCACACATGTGTAATGGGGGTGCAAGCAAATATATTGGTAACACTAGTGTACAGCACCTGTGGTTACACCGATTGTAATACAATGGCCCAGGAGCCTGCAGAACTGGTTTTGTTAACCCCCACCAGGTGGTAATTGTACTATATCCTCCCCAGGCTATTGTAATAAGCTCATACACTAATGAAAGAGCGTCCCCAGCTCTGTAATAGGTCGGAATTCTAATGAAAAAGCGTCCCCAGCCCTGTAATAAGCTACAATTCTAATGAAAAAGCGTCCCCAGCCCTGTAATAAGCTACAATTCTAATGAAAGAGCGTCCCCAGCTCTGTAATAGGTCGGAATTCTAATGAAAGAGCGTCCCCAGCCCTGTAATAAGCTACAATTCTAATGAAAAAGCGTCCCCAGCTCTGTAATAGGTCGGAATTCTGATGAAAAAGCGTCCCCAGCCCTGTAATAAGCCACAATTCTAATGAAAAGCATCCCGCGAGTCGTGTATCGCGGCGTGGAATGGTGTTTACCACATCGAGACGGTATACTGAACGCCTCAATAGCTCCCGCGTTCGTGACTGCTGCACTGGGATCGCGCCTGGCCACGCGGCCGGCAGTGCTTCGCATCGGTCAAAATACATTGCGCGCCGTGTGCACCGCACGCGTTTCTTTTTGACAATGTGCACGCTTTCGTTGTGCGTCTCGTGGCGGTCACCTGGCCCGCTGCGCACCTCCGCCAGTACACGCTCGCAATGGCATGCTCGTCGCGCGTCGAGCACGACCACCGCGTGCACCCACGCCGTTCGCGATCCCACCCCTATGTCCATAGAATTCATTCCTCCGTTAGTTGCCATGGTTCAGTCTGCATCGCACGAGCTGGCACCTGCCACGTCTCATGCGTCCGGCCTACGTGCCTCGCGTATTCGTCCTTGACCGCGGCTGTTCTTTTCATTCCAAACAAATCTTTCCGGTTGACCGCGTTCGTCCAGAGCGTGCGCTGCTTGCTTCACAGCTGCACGTCTGGCCTGCGCGTCGTGTCCACCCATTCTTGACACTTGTTCCCTTTCACATGGCGCCCACTTTTTACTTCACCACATACCGACCCGGTGTTTGCGTACCTCCGTCGGTTGCCCTGCGGGCTCGCTGTTTTAGCCACGGCTGCACGCCACCAGCGCTGCTCGCCACACGTCGGACTTCCCCGCGTGCACCCATTCTTGTGCATATTCACGACCAGTGCACGCATTGTTTTATCTCACACGCACCGTCCCGACAGACTGTTTTTATCATGTTGCCGCAGCACCGGCTCACTGCATGTGTCACTGCTGCGCATCACGCGAGAGGCCGCACCTCGCGCCTGATTGATGCGCACACGCGTTCTCGTGCGCTTTCATAGACCTATCTGGTTTTGAACGTCACATTCCATACCCGTTCATGTAATATTGCTAGGGCATTCTGCGCACGCGAACGCCGTGCAACGCCAACTTGGGCCCAGGTATTGTTCAGTTCGTAATGATTACATAAATGAACACCGACATCTTGAACACAATTACAGAACTACAACAGCTCCTAGTCGGACGCGTTTCCGGAAGACTCACTAACTACCTCCTCGTCTGGGCGCGCCTCGGCGGTCGCTGCCACGGTCTCGACGCCGTGACGCTGAGCCCACGATGGAAGCGGCTGGCCTGCGCGATGCTCAAGGTAGTACGGCATCCATACCTTGGTGCACCGCAGTGCGAGGTTGTCGAACACCCTGGCCTGCTTCTGCGCGTACGCCGCCAGCCCCGACGCCTGCGCTCGGCTGACATCCTTCCGAAGCGCGACCCGCCCACGCCACCACTGAGCCTTCCACTCGAAGTACTCGATAATCCTCCTCATCTCCTCCTCGAGGAGCTCCACCTCCTCTTTCCATCGGTCCGCCCGGGCTTTGCTGCGAGTCCATTCGAATTTCATGTCGTCCAGGATCTCGTTCGGGTCGAGGTCTTGTGAGTTCGTAGTGGGGGCGTCTCCGGAAACGTGGGGCACGCGCCAGATCCACGAAATTTCGAAGCCGCCGTCGCCTGTCTGGTTGTCGTCCTCCGGACGTCCTGGACCTCGTATGTCGTTGGAGCGAAGCTCTTGAAAGCGGTCCGTCCAGTCGCCGCTTGGGTCAAGAACCAACAGTGCCGTGCGCGCTGCACGATATTGCCCCACCGAGCGAGCGATCTTGTTCTGGAAGGTCGCGTAGGCGGATCTGACTCTCCCTGTCGTACGCTGACCGGTGCCGTTGACGTTAAGTCGGCCGAACTCTTTGATCCCCGTGATGATGCGGCGATAGCGACGGATGTCTTCAAGTGCGTCGTCGGCTTGAGCAATGCGCAGACGTCGCACTTTATCGAGAAGGCCGGGGGAGAGGGCGAGTCGGAGAGGGGTAGGCAGCGCAGATGGGAGGAGCAGCTGGATGTTCTCGGCAAGAGCGTTGACAATGTATGGCACGGTGGGCTGGGGATGAGTGCAGTGAGTGTCGTGGACGTGAGGAGGGGTGCAAATAGACTTCGACTGACGGTGTGTGATGTGAATGGGACTGCGCTGGCTGTAGTAGCCGCTGCTGATAGCACAGATGTCGCGGGCAAGGAGGGAACGATGGTGGTGAACGCAGAAGTGGTGGAGGGGAGAGGAACGGCGGGTGTGGGCGTTGACGCTGAGGGCGATGTCAATGGAAGCGGAAAACGAGGCTGGGAGGCACGGCAGTGACGGCAGGTAATCGGGCTATTCCACGGATGCGGGCCGTGATAGGCATATGAACATCTTGCATCGCCTGCCACGATTCAATTCGGTGTTTGAGAGTGTTTCGTTTCTCTTGTACCGCGCTGCCGAATTCTCTCCCGTGGACATGCCTGCTATCATAGCACGAAGGGCGCGTCTGGAATATAATCCAGTGAGGTTCTAGCTTTGTAGAATGCGATCAATTTACTCACTGTTGTTCTTCTAGATCGAGGCCAATCTGTAGAAAGACCCCAGGTGATACATCGTGTGGAGGTAGAACGCCGTCCATGAGCTCGACAGCTTCTTGCGCGGCAATCTCCAACCGGACCGATTTGAGCGTGACGGCTGATAATGCGGCATCCAATCAGTTCGAGCGAGATAGGAGCACGTTTGAATGATCCATACTTGCCCGGGGTTCTTCATATGGATCAGGTGCCGACGAGGTCAGCTTGCCATGCTGAGAGCTGTTCCTCCCACTGAGAAACAGCGTCCTTTGAGGCCGCAGGTAAGTTCTGGGTGAATTCTTTGTGATACGTCGACTGCAGCTTGCTCATCCTGTCCGCTTCGCGGAGACTCCTGAGAAAAAAAGCGGCTGCAATCATCTAAATTTAGCACCCAGGAAAGCTCCAGAGAGTTCGAGATAGTGCGTACCCATACCGACAATCTTCTGCCAATTCCAACACCCTCATGGTCGTCGACGACTTCGTGCCTGCCTCCCGGTTCCATCTCACAAGTACTCGTATGTACGGGGTTCATGTGACTCCAGTGCGACTCAATTCCCTCACCGTATGTGCGGCCAACATGCGACAACCAGTTCAACGACCACTGGGCGTGATTCGGGCCATGCACATGCCAGTGCTTCTTGGGAATGGCGAACCGGAGATCGAGCTCATCGAGAGCGGCACAAGCGAGGCCGGAAGGCTCTGCACACGCTCGAAGAGGCGCTTGTGCCACTGACAGGCAAGATCGTACGAGATCAGAACCGAGCCGGGCTCCATGCCGGCGACTGTCGAAGTGAGCAGGTAGTCGAATATTGCGTATCTGCGAACCACCGTCAGTATCGGCCCCATGATCCAGACTTTGTGGCCTACTTCTCTCCAAGGAAGATATCGCCCATCCCGTTCGCCGACACATCGCGTGGCGAGCGCACAAGATCGCGCCTACACCGGAAGTGATGTAGCCTTCCCGACGGCTATTTGCGTGCAGGATGGCTTTGTGCTCCGCAGTGCAACTGCTTGTCTGTATTGAGAATCAGCCATCAATTTGTATGCGCCCTCAATTGACTCACCTCCGACTGCTCTCTGACAGAGTTGATGAATGCGGTGTACGGGTTCGTATCTACAAAATAAGACCATCCTCGAGACATCTGGACACTGTCAAGCCCGCGATCCTTGAGTCTTGCACGGAAGTTCCCATCCATCATGAGAAAGAGGCAGTAGAGCCACCTGGTTGCAGCGCGTGTTCAATCATTGAGGCACCCGAATAATAGCGGTGGTACTTACTTGACGTCATCGGGCGCAGATGCCCAGTCGTCAGGGAGATTCTTGCCGGGGTGAGGGCAAGCAGGACATTCAACGGCGAGTTCCCCGGGCGAGTGGCCGTTATACCTGCTGGATCGTGAGCGCGGCTGCGCGCTTGAGGCGACGAGATTCGCCAAAGTCTGACACAATGGGCCAGCTGTTTGTATCGAGTCTGCGTTGTGCGATGACGTCAATGGTATACAACGACACGTCTGCTCACCAAGCCCGGGGCACCACCTGAATTATCAGTGATACGCTGCAACGTCTGTCGAAGTCGTTGAGGTTCGTCTTTGCTGGAAATTCAACTCTGGAAGAAGTCGAGGAGTCGGAATGTGGCTGCAGTCGCGGGCTTGAGAGTGGTCGCCGGAAACCATCCTTGCCGAAACACTTGCACCCATTCGAGAGCAAAGGTGTCATTGGGGTCGAGACATTCACAGAAGCGTACTTGAACTTGGTGTATACCATCGATATCGACTACGACGAGACGGCGTGTGTTCTGGCACGGATTCGGGCACGGATCGCCGTCGTGACCTAGCTGAACCTCGGCTCCGAGGGTGCGCAAGTCGACCTTGACAAACGTTATGCCATCCCACATCTGCGCGGAACATATCTTCCATTCCTTTCTTCGCTGAGATATCAAGAAGAACGTACCTCGAGGATGTGGAGCGGCAAATCCGCATGCCGCGCTAGTGCGCAAGACTTGCAGTACATGCGTCGAGAGCTGCACGAGTCAGCGCACCGGAAAGTAGCTGGTTCCTCGCAGATGCGGCACTTGACATGGTTGTGTCCGTCAAGATACTCTGAGCCGGAGAAGCGGAGGAGCTCATCGAGAAAGTCATCCCGAAGGGGCAACCACTCCTCGACCTTCCTCTGCGGCGACTGATTGGACCGTGGCAAGAACAAAGTCGGAACTGGAGGGTACATACCGCTGCACGAAGCCCGGGCCTTTTATTCCTCTTCCTTTTCTTCCCGTGTTGATTTCCATCGTCAGTTGGCTCCGTTGCATCTTGCGGTTGCAGGAGGGACATGATCTCTTCGATGGCGGGGTCCGGTGCGTCCGATCGTGGTGGCGAGTTCACAGGTACTGACCCGTGCTCCTGGCGCATGCCAAGTCGGCCGCTATTCAAGGGGTAAACCTCGACGTTGCGAGTGTTTTGAGTGGTAGGGGGAGTATTGCGGGAGGGTGTTGAAGAGATGGAGGTGCTGGGGGTAACATGACTTTGGTATATGCCTCTTTGCCATCGGGGCTTCTTGGGTCCAGACACACTTGACGATGCGGTGCGTTCACGTTTGTTGCCAGGCATGCGATGAGTAACCAGTAAGTTAGGTAGAAGATATGCGGAGATGAGGAGGCATATGAGGGCGATGGGAGGAAGAAACCAGATCCTTGCATCTTGCGTGCGGCGATCGCGCGTAGGGAGCCGCACGATCTGAAAGTCGGGCCGACTCCGAGATTTACGGACTACTCAACCAAGCACTTGGTCCCACCTCACTCGCTGCGAATGAGAGTCCGATGGTAGTACATGTAATATCCAGTCGTCCGTGCGGTCCCGGCGACTGGTATCGCGTAGAGTCCGGCGTGTTTGTGTTGCAGGCACCGTTGACTCAAACAGTGGGCGGTTACCAAACCGATACATCGCGCTCACCGTTGGACCAGCGCTGCTGCGCACAAGCTTCTTGGGAAGCTACTACTGCATCCCCATTTACTGGCCTGAGGTCTGAGATGGTTGTGGAGCTCATCAGACGTCTTGGCGGTGTAACACCGAATCCGTGTTAAACCTCTCACTTCTAGCACATCCCGCAACGGTCTCCGTGCGCGTCGTCTTACAAGGCACGAAGTGGAATGTCACTAAATGCCACTCAGGGGAAGTACGATTCGCGTTCCAGTACTCAGGATCATGGCAACACGGTAAGATTGAGCACGAGAAACAACAAGAACACATCTTATTTTGGACGATCAAGACACGCAGACAAAAAGGCGCAACATATTTCTATCTAGACACGAACAACGACCTCGTTCCTGTCCTTGGCAGCGTAGTAGTTCCTCACGGCGTCCTCGCGCTTGGCGTACGACTTGTGACAGTTAGAGCGTACACCCGTTACCAGCACCTTTGCCTCCTCCCACGACTTGTAAATCCCGACACGACGGCCCGAGGTGACGACGTACCAGCGGCAGTCGCGCGCGGCGTCGTGGTCAGCGTCGGGGGCCGCAATGTCTTCATGGAGGTCGGGGGCGTCCTCCTCGTCCTTGATGATGGCTATAGATGCGGTGAGTACGGAGCTCATAGTACGCAGGGTATTAAGAACATACCACGGGTGCTGGCCGTGCTGGCCTGCGGGAATGCGCCAACGTCGGCGTGGGTGATCATTGAGGCGTTAACCTGGTCGAACGCGCCGACGTTGGCCTGGGTGAACGCGTCGCCATTCGTCTGCCATGGGAACGCTCTGACATCCACAAAAGGACTGGTGCCGCGAGACAGCCCCGAGGAGATGCCAACGGCCGAGACAAGATTCTCCCCGCGGGTGGGGGTCGAGGGCGGTGCGCGTCCTCCACGGCGGGCGGAAGCGATGGAGGAGGAGCGTGAGACAGAGCCCACGCTGCGTCCGTCGTCGGTGGGGAACGCGGTGGAGCGGCGGACGGGCGACCCTGACAGAGAGAGGCAGTTGGATGCGCTCACGACCGGGCGCGTGTCCCCAGTAGGAAAGACGTGGACCGACATCTTAACGTCCCGGGTTGCAGGAAGCGGCGCACGGGCAACGCGGCGTCCACGACCTCCCACGGAAGATTCCACGAGGGCGTGTCCTTCGGCTCTACCAACGCTAGCGTTCACATTGACGACGCCGCCCATATGGATGTTCACGGTGAACGTGATGGCAGGCGGGGACGTAGGTGGAGCCTGGGTAGTGAGATCCTCCTCGGACGCGTTGCTGTCGTCCAGAGAAAGGCCACCGAATTGGAGGAGGGGCTCCTCGACGGCGTTGTCATTGTTGAACCGAGAAGGGTCATCTGTCAGAGAATAAGGAAATTGCTTAGCAGTTAGGATATGGCTCAGATTTTTGTACTTACCTGCGGTGGCTCCACGCATTGTAGCGTTGCCGCAAGTATCCGTGGTGGTGGGCTCGGGAGAAGACGAGATACGCATGGTGAGGGCTAGTAGAAGGGAGCGATGGGAGGGGAGCGAAGGCAAGCCAGCTGGACGCTCGACGAAGGAATGCGTGGCCTTTTTAATCGTCCCTCGACTGCCATAAGTGCTTCCGAGACCTGTCGAACCACTTGAGGCCGTGGGTACGCCCCTCGAAAATTTCTGGGCACGATGTGTATGAGTATGTCAGCTCTCGCCTCGACGACACGCTTCTCGTCTCCCCCACCGCTCACCTGGTCATCCCTTCGCTGCTTATCGAGCCCTCCTCATCGACTCCAAGCTATGACACGCAGGTCGTGGGCTGACCCTGACCAGGCCGCATGGCTATCGGCGCGGCTGGAGGCCTTCATCAACGCGCAGAGGAATCAGACCACCCGCACGTTCGTCCACGCTACTACCGAGGCATTCACCGCCGCTTGGCCGCTCTCTGGACCACCGACTGCCGAGGAGTTCGACAATGCATCGGACCTGAAGATCACCGTTGAGCAATGCTGGCTGAACAAGAAGGCCGATGTAAGCCCGTCTGTCCCACTCGCACTACTCTGTGACTAACATACCTATAGCAGATCGAGTGGTGGTTCCGTAACCGCACACGATCCAACAGCGCCACCAGGGGCGGGCGCGGACGTGGACGCGGGCGCGGTCGCGGCCGCGGCCGCGGAGGAGGGCCCGGCAGTGGGCAAGATACGAACACCGGTCCGATCCTCGACCTGCAGCGCAAGAAGCCTCAACTTCTCATGCCGCACCAAGCCTACATGGCGCTCTTCAAGGATGAACTCAGAGATCAGCTTCAAGAATCATACAACACGTATCTCACAGGCAAGCATTCCACTCTCCCGTTGACACCTGACTCGAAGACGTTCGACTTCTGGACATTCAAGAATAAGGAATGCGAACGTCTTCTCGCTCTGCAGTCGCAAGACGTGAAAGACAAGGTGGAGGACTTCCGCCAGCAGCACTACCGCGAACGCCTGCCAGTCCCCTTGATGTTTGACGACCTGATGGCGACGGACGGTCAGGAGAGCACACTCGAAAAGGTGAAAGCCTTACAACGGTAAGTGCATCATCGGAACGTCTTTTGTCGACTTCTTACTGAACACATCCGAGTTCAGTGCGATTGATGGTCTTCCACGCACGGGGATGGAAGCGTTGAAGTCGCTGGAGGAACAGACCGGCTTCAAGGGGGCATTCATGCTCGGCGGTCCGTGCCCGAAGACGGGGGATTTACTCACCTATTCGTACGCCTTAACGTCTGTTTGTTTCCGACCGCGGCCATCAGCTAACATGGTGTCTAGGATCATGAACGGCAATACTTTGGTGCACAACAACAGGTGGTCCGAGTCGGCGGAGGAGTGGCCGACGATTCAGGCGTCTTTTGAAAATTTCATCAGCAAGTCTTTCGGTGAGTCTGATAGCAATCTTGGCGGGGCCGGATGTACTCACTGCATTGTTAGATTCGGACTTGCCTAAGCGGTTGAGGGACCTGTTCTATGCAGACCTCGACATGGACGTCGCGGGCCCCTCGGGCGCTCAGTCAGCCGATGCCGGTGCTGCCGGTGCTGCGCCAGCGCCCACTGATACAGCCTCATCCTCGACCACAACCATCCCCTCGTCGGACCCGTCTCACTCCCTCTCGTCGGACCCGTCTCCCTCCCTCTCGTCGGATCCGTCCACCTCGTCCGCCTCTTCATCCACCCAGATCCCCGAGCTCTCCTACGATGCGCAACGGCAGAACAACATCGCTCGCAATCGTCTTCTACTCGAGCAAATCATGAACTCCGACACGGACGTGCACGTCGGAGGTTGGATGGAGCATGCATTGTCGTACTTGGAGGGAGTATGCGCCACTTCGTGGTGGAAGGACTTGCTGGTACACTGGCGGAGGTTCGAGCAGAGGATGAGTACCCTCGAGTCTCAGGTATGTATCTCTTACTCCACACGTCGTGTGTACTGGCCGTTCATTTAAGTCTACGCAGACCCCGAAAAAATTCCTCTCCACTAAAGGCCGTCCCGAGGAAGTCAAGTTCTGGATCAGCCGCGGGCGCAACTACAACAAGCCTCCCAAGGTCGCCAACCTGTCACTATTCACCAGTGCTCTTACTCAATGGTGGTGGCGTCTTCAGCCAGAGTGCCGCCGACTCGACAACGGGTATTGGCCACTTTCTCGTGACATTCCCGCCGGCACCCGTTGGATCGAACTTCAACTCGGTGGGCAGAATGGCCTGTTCATGGTCATTATGTCCCTCTCGTGGTGGATCAGCGCCGTGGACGAAGATACGGCTGATATAGAAGCCATTGTCGACGACCTGTCCTTCGCCATCATCCAGATCACCCCTCCGCTGGCCCCCTCATTTACGATATCCGCGACGCCTCCCCCGGCCCCTCCAACACCTCCATCCGCGGCCGCGCCGTCGACCTCGCCCGTGCCGTCCACGTCGCCCGTGCCCGCGCCCGCGCCATCGCCCGCGCCCGCGCCATCGCCCGCGCCCGCGCCATCGCCCGCGCCCGTGCCATCGACTACGTTCGCGTTTGCCACGTCCGCGCCTGCGCCGTCGACTACGCCCGCGCCTGCCGCGTCCGCGCCCGCGCCGTCGACCACGCCCGCGCCGTTGATCCCCACTTTGCACAAGCGTCAGTTGGAGGACGACGCGTTGGAGCATCCTGGCAGTGGCAAAAAGGCCAAGACGGACACCTAGGCGCAACGGTTAGAGACGACATATTGCGGGTGAAGTTGTAATTGCACTCATCGCTCTGTCATTGTCATTGTTACGTTTGATGCTATACATGATTTCTTGGGAGTCTCCGAACTGATGCTGCTGAAAGCGACTGACAGGGCCCCAGGTGTATGCGGTAGGAATTGTTGCAAAAGAGTGGGTCGACGCGAAGAGCTGGCCCGAGGCGCGGTGCATGGCAGATGGGTGGCGCGAGGTGCGCGCACGCTTTATTTTGACCGACCGAAGTGGTCCGAGCCACGTGAGCAGGCACGATCCCGGCGCAGCGGTCACAAACGCGGGAGCTATTGAGGCGTTTAGTATACCGTCTCGATGTGGTAAACACCATTCCACGCCGCGATGCACAACTCACAGGATGCTTTTCATTAGAATTGTAGCTTATTACAGAGCTGGGGACGCTCTTTCATTAGAATTGTAGCTTATTACAGGGCTGGGGACGCTCTTTCATTAGAATTGTAGCTTATTACAGAGCTGGGGACGCTCTTTCATCAGAATTCCGACCTATTACAGGGCTGGGGACGCTTTTTCATTAGAATTGTAGCTTATTACAGGGCTGGGGACGCTTTTTCATTAGAATTGTAGCTTATTACAGGGCTGGGGACGCTCTTTCATTAGTCTATGGGCTTATTACAATAGCCTGGGGAGGATATAGTACAATTACCACCTGGTGGGGGTTAACAAAACCAGTTCTGCAGGCTCCTGGGCCATTGTATTACAATTGGGGTAACCACAGGTGTGTACAGACTACAGACTACAGATAAAGGTGTTAGTTGGTGAACATGGGTGCTGGCAGTGGGCGTGGGCGTGGGCACTGACAACGTGGGCGAGGGCGGACGACGCGGGCGTGGGCGTGGGCGTGGGCGACGACGTGGGCAGGCGACGCGGGCACCGACGCGGGCACCGACGCGGGCACCGACGCGGGCACCGACGCGGGTGCGCGACGCGGGTGCGCGACGCGGGTGCGCGACGCAGGGGACAACGTGGGCGTGGGCGACGACGCGGACGACGCGGGCGAGAGCGTGGGCGAAGACGCGGGCGTGGGCGACGCGGGCACCGACGACGTGGGCGACGATGCGGGCGCGGGCGAGGGCGACGACGCAGGCGAGGGCGTGGGCGAGGACGCGGGCGGGGCGCGGACGACACGGGCACGGGCGTGGGCGACTCGGGCACCGACGACGTGGGCGACAATGCGGGCGCGGGCGAGGGCGACGACGCGGGCCGGCGCGGACGACACGGGCGCGGGCGTGGGCGTGGGCGAAGACACGGGCGGGCGCGGATGTGTCTTGCACACATCCGGGGCCCAAGGAGGCTCTGGGGAGGGGGACGGAGCAGTGCGGGGGAGGGAGGGATTGGGCACTTACCGAGGGACAACGGCCTCAGAGGGGCGCAGGTTGTAGGAATTGAGGGCGGATGAGGGCGGAGAGGGGGAGGAGGAGAGGGTGGTGGTAAGGGAGAGGGTGGTGGTAAGGGAGAGGGAGGAGATGGGCACAGGTGTCGTAAAAAGCACCGCAAGCGCCCGCTGACGTGGCCCCATTCGGGCGCTCACTGAGACGCTGAGCACAGCCCAGCGACCTCTGTGGCCACGCCGTTGGGCACCCACCTCTCCATCCCACCTCCCACCTCCCACTTCCCCTTGTCCCGCTCCCTCAACTCCACCCTCATCCCACCCCATCCACCTTCATCCTGCCGACCGCCTGCCCTCGTTCTGCCGCCTGCCTGTCCCTCAACTCCTACAACTCGCGCCCCTCTGAGGCCGTTGTCCCTCGGTAAGTGCCCAGTCCCTCCCTCCCCCGCACTGCTCCGTCCCCCTCCCCAGAGCCTCCTTGGGCCCCGGATGTGTGCAAGACACATCCGCGCCCGCCCGCGTCGTCGCCCACGCCCGCGCCCGCGCCCGCGTCGTCCGCCCTCGCCCACGTCGTCGGCCCACGCCCTCGCCTGCGTCGTCGCCCACGCCCGTGCCCGTGTCGTCCACGCCCCGCCCGCGTCTTCGCCCACGCCCATGTCGTCTGCACCCGCCCGTGTCGTCCGCGCCCGCCCGCGTCGTCGCCCATGCCCACGTCGTCTACCCTCGCCCCCGCCCACATCGTCTGCGCTCACCCGCGTCGTGCCCACGCCCGCGTTGGTGCCTGCGCCCATGCCCGCCCCCTGTTGACACCTGTGTTGGTGCCCGTGTCGCCCACCCACGTCGTCACCCACGCCCATGCCCTCGCCCGTGTTGTTACCTAGTTATATGTATTGCTTAGCTGTAGTACTATGTTATATAACTTATGAATATATCTTTTGCCATTGAGAACCTTTGGTGTGCAGCCACTGTGGCCTTTGGCGCCGTGGGAACTGATGACTCAGCGCCAGCAGAGGCTTTAAGCCTGCTGCCCTGCTTCTTCGACGCTTTGGAGGGTTGGCTTCATGCCTCCCTCCCATGCCTACGGGCAGCAGTTCAATAACGTGTGAAGAGGGGGGCCCCCCTCTAAGCACGGGTAGCACTGTCAGCCTTCCTCGCAAGGGAAGAGATCTGTGCGGTGCTTACCTTGAACTGTACCCTTGTGTGGGTCCCTTTTGACCCGGTAGCTTGGGGGCTCTGTTGGGAGGAGCAATGGGTTCTGGGGGTCATTTGGGCTCTGGGGGTCATTTGGGCTCTGGGGGTCATTTGGGCTCTGGGGGCTTGCTTCTTTCTCTGTTTTATGACCTTTCTCTGTCATCTCTGCCCTGGATATCATGTGAGTACTCTTGTGCACCTGTTGCTACTATCCCCTTTCTCTTTCCATGCCCTCTGATCATTTCCAGTTGCTCTGTTTGACCATAGGTGTCTTTCTTGCTGGTTTCTGGTGGAGATTATGGGTCTGGGAGTCAGGTATGGTTCTGGTGTGCTGGTGAGTCATCACTTCTCTTTCTGCATTCTGCCCTCCCTCCTCCCCCTTGTCTCTTATATGCACTTCTGGCAGTCTTTCTCAGCACATCTCAGTGCTCTTGAGCTGTCTCTGCTGGCTAGAGAGTGTGCTTATGTCAGGTGAGCTCATTTTGGCTGGTTTTCGCTTTTCTTGCGCACTATGGGGGCTGCAGATCCTCTTTCTTTCTCCTGAGTCGCGATAGGAGTTAGGAAAGGGGTTCTGTAGCCTTTGCGCTCTTCTGGACTTCACTAACTTGTTTTCTTCACTCCCTTTTACGTTCCCTTGGGGAACTTATGCTAGGCCGTCCTGCTGGGCGTCTATGTCGCTCTGGCTGTTACTGATTAGGCAGGTCTTTCCCATCCCTTCCCTGGCCTTCAAGCCTGCCTCAAGCTTGTTTGTTTGGTGGATTTGGAGGACTGTATGTGGTTGGGGGCCCCCTGGTTGCTTTTATTTGTATCTGTGCTTTGTATATATTGCCTGCGCCTTTGTTTTTGCGCTCTTCTCATTCTCTGTGTGCTCTGTGTGCCTCAAACTCGATTTCGTGTATCTGTGTGAATACGTGTGCCTGTTTGCAGCTGTTCTTTGCCCTCGCGCTTGACGTCTGCATGGAGACTTCCTCCTTGCCTCTTACCATCACTCAAGCTGCTGCATTGCCCATTTCCCACACCCATCTCACCATGCATCTTGTTGAAGACATCCTCCTTTCTATCTTCAAACTCCTTCCTCCTTCCTCAGCTACTACTGTAGCTCAGGCCTCCAAGCTCACATACCAACTGGCCATGCCCACTGCACTCTCTAAGATCCATCTACAAGACTGGTGTGATTGGAACCCCACAGGCACCATTGAATGGGTGAAGTGGCTCACTTCTGCTCATCCTTACCTTCCCTACCCTCCCTGTCACTATATCAAGTCCCTCCACACCCCCTATCACTCCGATATTCTCTCCACCCACGTTTTCACGGATAAGCTCCTCAGCAAGATCCCAAATCTCTCTGAGCTTGTGGTTCTGAACACGGGGGAACAAATCGACGTTTTTGTCTGCCTTCTATTCATACCCACTTTGACCACACTCTCCATGAGCTCAGCTACCATCGACAATGTCCTCACGGTTGCTCCACTCCTTCCCGACTTCCCAAAACTCTCTGCATTCTCCTTGTCACTCCAGAGGGGTCTATTCCAGTCGATATCACCTTCCAGGACTGGAACATCCTTCATTCTCTCATCCTTCAACTCTCCAAAGTCCCCCTTCTTGCTTCTTTATCTTTGACAGGAGACGAAGAGGAGAACGAGCATGAAGAGAAGGAGTTGGCCCATTGGGATCTCATCCAGGAGCTTAGCATTGCATCCCCTCTTCTAGACCTCCCCTACCTCAAACATCTCAAGCTCCAACAGTGGCAGCGATCCTTGGTTCCCCCTACCTCCTCTCTTCTCCACCTTTCTGTCTACTGCCACACCACGTTTGAGGTCTTGTGGGCTCACACCTGGCACGACCTCCAGACCGTTGAGATTGACTTCATGCTCGACGGTGACGAGGAGATCTTTGGCGAGAGCCCACCCATCGACAACTACAAGAATCATTCCTTCTCTCACATCGACTTCCTCGAGTTCACTCAGAAGTGGTATATTCCTTCACGCTCAGCCACCATGTACGACTTTGCAGAGTTGCCACACCAGCTCTTCCACCATATCAAGTCTTTGTCGTCCCTTTCCTTTGCCGATCTCATGTGGGACGACTGCGAAGATGAGCTCAGATGCGAGACTTTCGATGCAGCTGCCAGGTTGAAGATTAGGTCGTTGACCTTCGACCATTTCTATTATCCTGCGAATGGTTTCGAAGACATCTTGGTACGTTTTTCACTATTTTGCACTCATTTTAGACTAATTCTTATTTTCATACGTAGTCGACCATGCCCCAGAGGTTCTCTCCCATCCCTCTCATTCATCTCAGCATCAGATTCGTTCCAGATCTGTTTAAAGACCTTGCCATGGATCCCCTCACAGCGTGCAAGAGGCTAGGGCAGAAGCTGGCAGAGTTCATTCCTACCCTCATGGTTCTGGAACTGGAGGTTCTTGACGCAGATGACGATGAAGAAAGAGTCGTTCAGTGGTGGAGAATCGAGCGTCGAGAGGAGGTCCCACGGTTGGAAGAGATATGGAGTGAGGTTGGGGAGGCAGCTGTTCAGTTGATTCAGAGGAAGGCCTTCAAGCTGCAGGCTCTGGAAGGTTTGTTTTTTATTGCTCGTACTTGCGCAGACTCTGATAGTATCAACAGAACTCTTTATTACTCGGGATGTCTACTAAGCATTGTAAAAGTAAGACTTATAGCTATTAGATGGTGTCTAGTACAAGGTGTGGGCTAAGGGATAAGCCCTGCAGCATCTGGTATGTTGTCGAGAGAGACGGCGGAACGTGGGTAGGCGTAAAAAATATAGGATGGGGTGCTCACCAGGAGATGAATGGCGCACTGGCTTAAACTGTGGCACTGGGAACACAATTGAAGGGCCTAGGGCGTCCTTTGGAACACCCTGGGCTTGTTGAGGTTGTCAGAGAGGCAGTCAGATGGTGGGACGAGAAGGTCAAGGGCAGCAAGGAGGAGGAGGAGGAGGGTGGGCAGCATCCGCGCGCGGACGGCCGTAAGGCCACCTGTTTTGAGCGCAAGGTGTGGGCGATGGGTGAGAAAGGACGGGAGACACCCCCCGCCATATCTTGTACGTGGCCGGGGCTTGCAGGCACGCTGCAGGAGGAAGGGTGGGGCAGGGTGCAGGAGGACAGGGCCAGGGACTTACTGGGAGACAACCAGCGCTACGGTCTTGAACTGCGGCGCCAGGATGCGAATTAAGGGGCCAAGGATGTCCATTGGGACGTCCTCGGTGGTTTGAGGTGGTTGGGGAGGCAGGCAAGCAGTGGGACAGGGAAGTTGAGGGTGGCGAGGAGGTGAAGGAGGAGGAGGAGAGAGGCGCGCGTACGGACAGCTGTAAGGCCGCCCGATTTGAGCGCAGGACACTGGTGATGGGTGAGGAAGGACAGGAGACACGTCCCGCCGCATCTTGTATGCGATCAGGGCGTGCAGCCACACTGAGGGAGGAGGATTGGGGCAGCGCGCAGGAGAGACGGGCACAAGTAGTGATCACCACGGGTCACCCCGGGTAATCTTGAGTCGACCTGTACCCGGACCCGTGAAACCCGGACCCGTGAGCTCACGGGTCAGGGTACGCTCGGGTACAGCGCTTACGACCACGGGTCAGTCACGTGTGACGGCCGGAGTCGGCGCTCGCGCGCAGCTTGCCAGTCGGTGACTTCTCCTTCCCCACCTCTGTTTGTTTGCTCCTGTCACCCCGCCTCACTCAAATGATCCTGCTGAACTTAAGGAGATGCAGTGGAGGTGATGTGGCGATCATCGGCTCGGTGGGAGTGTGATAAACGGGTGAGCTTTCATTACATCTTTCAATGCGCGATGTGGAGGGGCGGCTTTTCAAAACAACACGCAATGGACGTCCTCGACCACCTCTGGGCCCACCGCGAGTCCACCTCTGGCTGGCCTATTGAGAGCCACGAGGACGTTCTCGCCCCCTGGCTCTACTGGTTATCCTTCACCCCCGGTACGTCTCCCCTCCCCTTTGCGCTCTTCCCCGCGATCTTCATACCTCACACAGAAAAACTCGCTACCTGCTCGCCCGCCCTCCGCACTATGCTTGCGAATCACGTCGGGTCGTACACCGTGTACGGCTTCCGTTACCCCCCTTCCTCACCCCCACAACAACTTCTGTGATTCCCTCTCCACCATGGCGACTGGGACTTGCGTGTGTGGCCCTCCCTGACCATGTGCAGGGGCAGCGGGCAGGCGTGGAGCGACCGGATGATGAGCCTGAGGGCGTGGCAGGTGAACAACTGGGAGCGGTGGACGGCGTGCCCCTCGGTGGCCTCAAGTTCACGCTCGGCTCTCTGTCCGGGCTCTAGGTTGTGAGTTTCTCGCCTTCCATGGCCTCTTTCGGCACTCACGCTTGGACGGCGTAGGACGGGGCCACGGACGGGCACACGCTTGCCTTGCACGCGAGGCTAGAGAACTCGCCATTCTCGGCCACGGCCCATCCCCTCTTCTTCGACCTCCGTGAGCACCACCGTGTACCCCCGCCCAGCCCCTCCCGCTCCGGGAGCCGAGTGATGCGATGGACGAGCTGAACGCGTACCGCGCCCACTCCTTCCTGGACGCATACGCCATCAAGCACACAGGGCGCGCGCGTGGCGGGAGGCGCAAGGTGGACATGTGGAGGTGGGGCACGCCGGAGCGGGTGTATGAGACCTGCAGGGAGGGGAGAGGAACTCACATGCGCCGAAGACGTGCGAGATGTGCGTGGTGAACAGGGAGGAGGAGAATGCCGAGGTGCAGGCGTGGAAGGCGGAGATCTTGGCGAGGAGGGCGGTGGAGGGCGATGAAGACGAAAACACGGACCTCGACGTTGAACTAGACGGCGACGACGACAACCGCCACTCCGACCACTACCATGACCACGAGATGGACGACACGCAAGGCGGAGCAGCACATATCGACTGTGTGCACCGACAGGTCCAGGACGGGCTCGACACGGACGTTGAAGAGCTCATCGACGCGGTCTCGAGCAAGGACGACGAAGAACACAAGCCGGAGGATGCGCCCTCGCGCGCGGCGAGCCCGACAGACTCGGACATGGACATCGGGCGGACGTGCTCTGAGGTCGAAGACGTCTTCATCACCGGCGAGGTTGCTTCTTTGGTCCGCTCTCCTTTGCTGACCCGTTTTCTCCCCAGTGCGCGCTTTGGTGACCTCTCCCTCCCTCCTCCTTTGTTGTCTAGTCTCCTCTTCTCTCTCCGCTTCTCTCCTCCCTTGTTATCCCCTGCACGCACGCACGCACGCACGCACAGACCCTTCCGCAATACGCACAAGCCTGGTGAGCCTACACGCTCTACGGCCGTGTCTACCCCTGGGATGGCCTTGTCGTCCTCGTCCGCGTCCAGATCCCGCCAGCGGGCGGCGGCGGCGCGAGTGGCAGCATCGTCTGTGCCCCCCCCCCCCCGGGTGTGAGCGGTGTGCGCACTGGCGAGCTCCGTCTCCTTCAACTTCTTCTGAACTCATTCGGGGTGGCAGTCACATATGCCAGAACGAGCTGAACCGGCGTGTCCTGGCTGCTACGCTCTCGGCCTGTGCCGCGCTTCCAGCGCGCGCGCGTCTGCCACCGCCATGGCCCGTGACGTCCACAAGCGGGAGCGTGAGCACCTCCAGGCGCGCGCGCACCGCATGCCGTCGTGAGGTCGGCCGCGGCGAGGAGTGAGGGGACTTTCGGGTACGCTTCGCGCTCACGCGTGTCGTCATTGTCACTGCCGTACGAGACGAGGAAGCATGTACATGAACTTTGTCGCCTTCGCCTTCACCCTGTTTTGAGGTGCGTGCGGGGTGGCAATTACATCCTGCGCAGGCTTTGTGTGCGCAGTGCGCGCGGCTCTTGTTCCCCATCCACATATGATACCTCCTGATTGATCCACCACTATTCATTACATGTATAATGCACCCCGAGCCTACGGGTCACCACGGGTTGCCAAGGGTTCACCCTGCGGGTCGTGTATCAAGCTTGGTATTCCTGAATCTAAGCAATTTAAGCTTGTACATATGAGAGACAATAGGCGTATGGTGTGTAAGAGACCAAGTATGTATAGTAGCGCTACACTGAAGAGACAAGTACAGCTGATATAACACCATTGTCAGAGACCTGTGGCTTAACTTTGCCGTAAAAAGAGAACCAGTCAGAGACTTTCCGTAACGACATACACTGCAAGTCTTTCCAAGCACCAAGAGAAGATCTGGTATACAGCGTTTGCATTCTGCCAAGGGTCCAATAGCACTATAGCATCCTTCTCATGCAAGATAACACGAACCTCTGAAGACGTCTCCATCCTGCACCTAGTCTGGATAAGTGGAAGCTGGATAAGAAGCTTGCCCACCAGGTGTACCCAATTTTCAACTCTCTCCATGTAGTCCTTCATCGTCTCCTTCTCCCTGGCCTTCTCTGTCTCCTTGCGCCAATCCTCCATCTCCGACAACTCCAGCCTTCTGAGTTGCTCATTCGTAACCGTGTGAATGGCGGCAAGCCTAACGTAGTCCTCCCCCTCCAGCTTCAGGAGCTTCTTCGGCTGAAACTTCTGAGGGAAGTCTGCCTCCGTCTTCTCGATTGGACCCCAGTAGAGCTGACCGGGTGGCTGTAGGTAGAAGAGCTCACAGTTCCAACCGGGGGGAGTGACTCGGGAAGGGGTTCGGAATGGGAATGGAAATCTGGGAAGGCAGAGATGGATGCAGAAGGTGTAGGTGGAGTGGAAGCAATAGAGGACTTGAGAGAGGCTGGTCTCAAAGCGATGGGGATCGGCGTTGGGATGAGGGCAGAATTCAGGGTATTCGCATGACAGGTGTTCGAATGGGACTTTGCCTAGTTTCTCCACATCGCTGAGGAACTTTGACCATCTCTTGGTGGTAGGATTCCCCTTGTTTTCAAACTTGTGCCATTTGTCCCTTCTGGGATTCCGAACAGCTGATCCACCGATTGACGGTCGAAGCTGGGGACAGGCGGCTTCTACTGAGCTATAAAAGTGGTGGTACCGCTCCCAAAGGGCGATCAGGATGTTCCGATCCAGGTATAGCATGCCTCGGTCATCGGTTTTGATGCCGCCAATCCAACGGAGAACGGATGGTGTGAGCTTGCTCAGGCCGTAGGAGGTCAAGGAGTCCCAACGAACGTCCGATACAGAGAGTTGGCACTGGCGATGACTGCTAAGGATCTGGCCAGAAGAGGTGGTGTGTGGAAAGAGTCCAGTCTCCATGATGTGTGCAGTGGATGAATAGGATGTGGTTGGAACGATGGCTGCAGTGATAGCTTCTCGATAGTCTCTTGATATTCAGATTCAAAGATCACATGTTCTCATTCAAGTCGATATTCAGATTCAAGAATCACGTGTTCACATTCAAGAATCACGTGTTCACATTCACATTCATGCACCGAGAAGAGAAGCTCAATTCACTAGAAGAAGCACATGCCAACTCTACATCTTCTACCCAGCCATAGGCACATCTGTCTGAGATACAACTGCACTGTCCTGCAAGTCACTATTGTCCAAGCGCATACGCTTCAACACAGAGTCTGTGTCATCTTCCTCGCTGTCGCCGTAGCCGACCTTGCGCTTCAAAGGACGTCTGGGAGACTTGGCACGCTTTGTCAAAGCTGCAATTGAAGCTAGATTGAAGTCCTATAATCAAATCAGCAAGCACGCTCCAAGTGAGAATCAGCATATAGCACTCACCTTCTCGACAGTACGGTCTAGAACACAGATCGAACATAGCTTAGGAACAAAGACGTACTCCTGTCGGGGAAGGCGAACCACTGTGAAAGCGATCTGTAGCTCAACTAGGTTTGAGATGTTGATCTGGTGAGGCTTGATCTTTGTGTATGTTGCCCTGAGCAATGTCAGCTATGGTTGGCTTCATAGCAACCTGGCACGTACTTGGACTCCTTCATTGTACGCTCCCAGTACTGAACTGCATTGTCGGTAGTGTGAACATGATCACGCAGAGCTGGTCGGAGAACATTGAAGGGGTCCACGA